TCTGTCTCGTAATTCGAAGGAGTGGTACGCGACGGTATCCTCTCGCGAGGATTCCATCGGGACGATTGGGAATAACGCGGGATTACTAGGCGGTAGGGGTAGTCTTTATCCATCGTCGTCGTCGTCGTCGTCGTCGTCGTCGTTGTCTAGTCACCGTCAAAGGAAACGGGAACGCGCGGGCTGATGTAAATAATGCGCGAGCGGAGCGGAGCAAAGGGAGGGTAGGTGCAGAGAACATAAGAAGCTGCGTTGATTTGTGAGAAGCTTGCGGAACGTTGACGAACAAAGGGACGAAGCATAGTGGAGGGTATAGAAGTGTAAAGGAGAGAGAGAAAGAGCCGAGAGCGATTGCCATTTCGTACCTGAGGGTATCGTTGAGCGTTTCAGACGCGAGGAAAGAAGCGGAGACGGGAAGGACGGGGCAGTAAAGAGGGACCTGGTTAAGTGGGAACGAGCAGTGAAACGGAGAGAAAGAGAAGGAACGCGGGACTTTATCGTCGAAGAAAGGCCGGGAAGAACGAGCATGTATCTGCATATAACCCGGTTTCTCACTCTCGCGGACGCGCTTTTACCCGCGCACAGCGGCCCCTCTGCGCCAGAGACGGAGCTGAAACGAGTTCCCTTGGGAAGTGGCCAGCCGTACCCGGACCGTGTACCACCGCCGTAACCCCCGTACCCTCCCGCCGTCAGATATCCAGGAGAAGACCGACCACTCTCGGGAGACCGGACTAGTGCTTCTCAAACACAGGCCAGCCGGCCCTTCCATCCTTCATTAACCGGCTTCTCCTCTCCCAGCTTACCCTTCCACCGACAGTTTTCCTCGAGTGCACCCACGTGCCACGCAAACGTAAACGCAACGAATCCGTGGCCCACCTTTTAAAGCGAACCTACCCTATCGCGAAATTTCTCGTCTATCACCTGTTCACCAGGGGATCGTTCCGGTACCCTATTCTCTTCCATCGACGTTCCGCGATTCGCGACGCGACCTTGTCGCGAACGCTCCTCGGTAGGAAAACCGCAGTGATAGAGGAAGTTGAAAGGAGACGAGGGAGAGAGCGTCTGGCCGCGTCGCGAGGTTAACGAGCCACGCTTTAATAGGCAAAGTTCCGTCGCGAGTCGTAAAATCGCGACTGTCGGTGACTTTATCGATGCGAGGGGGTTGGAGATGCGACGGAAGACAGGGGCAAACGGGCGACGGAGAACGAGCTAGTAGGAACGGGTGAAAAGAGAGAGGGCACGCCGGATGCGAGAGCCAGGCCAGCAATATCGAGATGAGTTATTGTTCGCGGAGCACAATACGCTCAAATATGGAACGAAGCCGAGAAATTGATAGAAAAAATCCGCGCGGAACTCCGCCGAAAGGCTTTATTAATTCCAGACCTACGTTTCTGCAAATACGTACGAGCTTCCGAAATAAAAAAAAAAAAATAAAAAAAATGAAATAAAATAAACAAAAAGGAAAAGAAAAATCCATTTACGCGCGTGATGGTTGGTCGCGCGAACGAAAAGGGGTGTCGAAAAAGGGTCGGCGATGAGATGCAAAAGCGATAGACGATTCGAACGTTGAACAAGGGCAAACAAGTAGGGGAAAGACGATTGCTCGAATCGTATTAGACGTACGCGAGAGCGCGGGCGCCGGCTCACGGCCGATACTAAACAATGTATCGCCATTAAATAGAGTTAAATCGTGGGACGCGGGGACTTGGCCGTCTCTACCCTGGGATCGATACGAAAAGAGAGAATTCTCTGGCTACGGTTCGTAGGGCGGATGGCAGAGAAGAGGGTGAGGTGCAACCACGAGAAAACGCAGCGACAAAGGGAAATGGAGATGGAAAGAGTGGCACAGTAGGGTGAGCGAGAGATCGTGGATGGGGGACACGGTCCCTCGGTCCAAACCGACCGGCACGCTTCCACCTCGCTTTCCTGCCCGATCCACGACGACGTTTGCCCCGGCAAACGGAGAAAAACGTCAGGGACGAATGACTCCTCGTAAATCGATTACGTGGACGGAAAACGCCATGGTTTTCGGTCTAGAAACCCGAGGACCGACGTACACCGATCCGAGAAAGGTTTTATCGTTATCGTTATACTTGTTCGATTATTTCGATTTCTTTTCGAACGGACACACGAGAAGAGGTTGGATCAAGGATATCGAATTCAACGTTTCGAGGCGTGAAACATACGAGATCTATATAGGGTTTTCGAAACATCGAATTCCCCTAGTTAGCGGAAGTAAGAATTCGTTATCGTTGATGCCTGTCGTTGGACCAATTCCCTCGCACTCGACTCGTTTTCCTTTTGTCCTCGTTTCCGGCGCGTTTCCACGGCCAAGGAAATTCTCGCCGGTTTGATGGGAACGCGATAATCTTGGAGCCCTCGCGGGATTTCCGTAGCTCCTGTGTACGCGGACAGCCTTACGATTCGAGAGGCGAGGAAAAACTCGCGAACCGAGCTGCTCGTCCACGGATAGTTCTGCAGCTCCATTAAGCTTCTTCCAGTGACTTCTTTCTCCCGGCTAAGCACGGGCATCCGTGATTCGTTGCGCAGTTGCGATTCCCAGCTGTTCGCCATAGTATTTTTCCTCCTTCCCCGACGATCGTTTCGCGAGAGAAAAACCATGTCTTCGTGCTCGGCTACGAGGGACTCCTCGAGTTGTCTATTTTCCTAATAAAAGCCACGTTTCTTTGCGATCGATCTCGCGAGACCAATGAAAAGGTAGACGCTCTCGAGCATCGCGATCGTAGCCGGAATAAGAATATCGATCTGAAACACTCTCGCAACCGCGTAACCTCGATTCCGAAGAACGTTACGTGTCTACTATGCGTTCTACCTGGGTCTACGTGTCGCCCCGCGACCTCCACGAAATATTCTTCCGTCTTCAGCAACCACCTCCACCTCCACCTCCCTCTCCGTATTACTCATCGCTTTTCTCTCTTCTCGCCGACACTCCGGTCCATTCTCTTCGTCCTCCAAGCCGGAAGCTGGAACGTCGTGGAAGGATGAACAACGACGCCGAGACTACTGGCGTCGTCTGATTCACCTTAGCTCCTTTACCAAGAAACACCGCGAGCTCTCTTGATGCGCTTGACACTCGCCCGGCTGGATTCAGAATCTGGGGAAAATTAGTGACGGATACGTCAAATTATTTCACGAAAGTTTTTTCAGGACGTATATAAAATTAGCGTGTTATAAGATATTTCGTACGAATGTTATTAATCATCCGGGCAGCTTACGAAAGAGCAAGGTGTAACGCTTTCGCGATTCACGGGCAAGGAAAAGTTCTGGTCGAACAGGATTACGAGGAGGTTGAAATTTCGGGCAGCTGCACCGGTGCTGGTACACTTTCGAAATCCGGGCGAAGAATTCAACGAAACGACAACGAGTTTCGACAACGGAGGGAAGGGTGGGAAGGAGGTGGATTACGTTTACGCGGTCGGACTCTTTTATTACGTCGGTTGCCACGATTCGCGTACCTTTTCATCGATCCAGTCACTGTTCGAGTGTTTGCCCTGCCCTCCAGTTGGCTGCCATCCGTTTTACTATTTGGATATTGCTGTCGTTATCCGGAATAGAGAGGGGTCCATCCGCGCACGGCCACCTTGCACGAACGGTCGGCTCGCGCGGATACGCGTCGCGGTAGGAAAACCGCGTAAAAGGAACGGGTGAAATGGAAGAAACGCAGCCACGGCGAATACGGGAAAGAAAACGACGGCGACGATGGCGCGCAACTTCGTTTTTAAGTAATTGCCGACCCTTTCGAGAGCTTTCATCGAGACGAAGCGAAAGCTCGCTCACAAGCTCGGCTTTCGTTCGCCGAGCATTCTGAAGTCTCGATTAAGCGATTAAACGAACCACCCCCGGGGGCTGCTGCCGTATTTAATTTACCGCCATTCTCCGCCTACTGCTCTGGAATTTCTTCTATTCTTCTCCCTTCCCGATCGCGCCACCTGTTCTTTTACCTTTCAATTCTTTATCTTCCGTCTTCGCGTCTTTATTGTTCACCGCGCCCCCCGTCAACCATCGCCGGAAATCGACTCGGCAGAGGGAAAAAACGAATCGATTCCTTTTTCGAAAGGAAATTTCGACTCTTCCGTTCTGCATTGGATCCTGGGAAGCTGGTAAACTGGATTTCACGCGATTCGAAATGTAATTCAGAAATTCGACGAAATTTTAAAAAATCCGATCGCTTTACCAGCGTCCCAGTCTCGGTTTGAATTCCGTAAAGACGGATCAATGGCTGACGAAGGAACGAACGCCGCGACGCTGGATCGACGTTTATGGCTGATCATAGAACAGGTTTCTCGATTACGCTGATATTTGACAGCTCGTTAGCTGCTTTACTCGACTAGAGAAATCGTGGTCACGGTCGTCTATCCGAACTGTCGGCCCCGTTGCAGGATGCCACCAATTTTCCCTTACAATTTTCCGCGCCGGATCTGTCTCGCTGAGCCGAATTTACTTCGCTGCCAGTATCATCCCTTCGTTCCCGCCCCGTGTTTCGTGTCCCGTGCTAGTATACATTCTGGACGTTCGCCAAAATTAATTCCTCTGCTCCTGAGACGACCTCGAACCGTCTCTTTCGCGATGATTCTCTCGTTTCTTTTTTCCTTTTCTACTTCTTCTTTTTTCGCGACAGAAGTACGTGTGCGAAAACGTTTCGACGCTGTGAGACGTGGCAGAAATCACTTTCGCTCGAGAAGCAACGATCCTGATTCTCTCGAGAGAATCCAGGAAACGCCGTTTCATCGAGCAAAGCCTTGGAGAACGGACGATCGATATCTAATATCTATTCCCATCTGTATCTTTTCAAGAGAAAACGCGCGTTATCTCTCTCCGGGGACGCCGTCTGACTGTCCGACTTTGATTTATTTATTTTATAAACGGATAATTGTAGATGAAATGAAACACTTGAACTGAAATTCAGTGAAAGGCGTTGAAATCAATGGTCGGGCAGCTGCAGACTTTTCGTTGCCCTTGAAGAGAATTAAATCACTCTCGTATTATTATTAAAAATCTGTAATCTTATTAAGTTATAAAAACCTTTTGATATTGCAGTCGGGCAGTTGGGATTCTTTCGTTGGCAGAATACGAATGGACGAAGTAAGTACGAGGAGACGATGGAACCGAAGAAAGAGCGTGAAGGAAAAGGTGGAGGAGGCTGGACAGTGATTTCGTCCATCCCGATAGACGGGGGAGAAAACGGCAGGTGTTCGTGTGCGGAGCAGCTGCAATCACGACCACCATCTGCCGCGGTAATGCACGCCTCTTCCAAGTCTTCCAGTCTTGAAGAAGCGACGACTCGTCGCCCGAGGCATCCATCCTCAATTAGACGCCACCTGAAACACGTGCCCCTCCCGAATCCAACGATTTCGATGGCTTCTTTCTTCTCCTCTTTATCTCCCCTCTGTCTTCTCCACGATGCCCATTTTACCAGTTTCAGCTTCCTATCGTACCGTTCCACGGCTTCCATCCTTTCTCCGCGTTATACGCGTCATTATACTTCGCTTCCTGGTTACGACGACGGTGTCATCGATCATCGATCAACGTTTTTCGTCAGCACGACAGTTGGCGGGCACGAGGCTTTGCGTAAAAGTAAAAAACAACAAGACTGACACGTGCTATCTTCGAAAATGCGAATCCGAACAAGGGATCCTGGGTGTCACGTTACCTTCCGCCGTGACCTACAAACCGGTCTTCAAGAAGCTTTTATAAAAGAAGTAAACGAAATCGTGTAATACACTGTAAAAATTGGAAATAAAATATTGTTTCGATATTTATGTTTGTGCATCACTGATTCGTTTGGAATAGTTTTCTACCTTGCCAAACACACAGGAGATGGCTTGAACACGTGGCGCCATCTGTTACAACCGAACGTATCTTCACGATACCTTTATATGCTCGCGTCGACCATTTTATCTTCACCTCTGCGATAACAGTATCAATAACAAAAAGAAAAAATATATGTAGAAGAACCATATGTTTAAGTCGGTATCGCTTACATACGTTTGCGAAAATCGACTAGACAGAGTTTATCTTGTCCTATACACAGCAACGTTTTATGCTTCTAAGATTAGCTCCTAATCGGTATATTTAAACTAGAAGCATCGTGACTGGGTGTCGTAGGAATTATCCCCTTTTCTTCCAATTCTTTCTTCATTACATACTTCTGTACTTTCCCGCTGGCTGTCTTCGGATACTCATCAACGATCACCACGTAACGAGGTATTTTAAAAGGCGCGATTCGTCCCTTGCAGTACTCCCGCAATTGTTCCTTGGTGAGACTGGCGCCTGCTTGGAGGCGCACGCATGCGCACACTTCCTCGCCGTAGACGCTATCGTAAGCACCTATAACTTGCGCCTCCAGGATCAGAGGATGCGTCATCAATAAGTCCTCAATCTCCTGGAACACGATTTATAGGATGAAGAAGCGGAATCGAATAACACCGGGTCACGGTGGAGTACACTCTACCAGTCCCCTAAATAGTTATCACTTTTCAGCAATAACAACTATAATTTCCTTTACGCCGCGTCTGTACCTTAGGGAAAATATTCTCTCCGCCTCGTATCAGCATCTCCTTCAGCCTCCCGACTATCCGTCCGTACCCATTTGATTCCAACACGAATTGATCACCGGTTTTTAGCCAACCATCTTCGGTCAAGGTTTTTCGTGTGTTCTCTTCGTCCTGCCAGTAACCCTTCATGTTGCAGTAGCTACGTATCCAAAGCTCTCCTGGAGAACCAAATTGTACGGGTGATCCATTCTCATCCACCACCTTCGAGACAAAGAAGAAATATCCGTGTAAGGACGCGACTCGTGATTTTATAAAAGTACAGAGTAATTTTTTTTTTCTTAATTACCATTGCTTCGACGTGATCCGCCAGATGTCCAACGGTGTTCTCCGTCAAATGGTGGTCCTCGTTGGGCAACGATTGGAAAATCACCGCCGATGTCTCCGTCAACCCGTATATCGTCTGTCGAGAGTCAAAGAACAGACGATTGGTCGTTTTAGGACGAAGCTAGGAAAGCTCGGGACCCGATTTCGCGAAAGAGAACGTTATTGATCGCAGCCAAGAAACGATATTTCTCCACGCGGAATCGTATTTATGCATACGAACCGAGGAGCTGCCCGTAAGAGATATGTGCATAGATAACGGGCTGGAACGCGACGCGTTATGTCGGGACGAATTAAGTACGAGAACCCGTCGTGTCGACGACCTTCGTCGATTTCCAGCCCCATCTAAAATCGTGTTAACTTTAAATATTATATATCGTCGAAAGGAAAATCCTTCGTTACGTTGTACGATTGATAATTTTAAAAGTCGTTCGATCGTGGTGCTACGAACAGGATCACCTTGACACACCGTCGTTCATCATAGGCGCGGTTGCATTTACATCGAAACCATTCGTGAAAGATTAAGATAGCATTGTTAATTAAGACAGCGTAATCAGTCGAATTGCTTCTAATTGTATTCCAAGTAAATTTTATCTAAAGTAATTTCATTTGCAAATTGAAATTTTGCATATTCATATTCAAAAACCAGTAATAATTTAAGAATAATTGTAGGCAATGACTCGAGTTTGTTGCTTATTTGCCATTGCAGACAATTATTTCTTCCAATTTCAATTTTTATCTTATCTAATCATATTATATATAAATTTCCTATTGTAATAATAAATAAGCGCATGTAAATTTATGATGCCGTAACGATGTTACCGTGTGTACTATATGGAGAACCTAATTTAAATTCTGTAAAAAGTGCAACGTATGTAATGAATTATTAATAAATTAATAAATTAATAAATAATAGGTACTTAAAATGAAAGAAACTGTCATTAAAAACGTTGTATCACTTTGTTACACTTTAGAATGTGAGTAGTAACTAACACTTGGGTAGTTCCCCTCGTTAAATTTTCAAGACTTCCAATAGGTTCCAATAAAATTTGAAACGATTCGAAAAATTTGACAGAGTTTCAACTGTCCATTGCTGAATCTGTCCGTTACCTTCATATTATCGAAACGAAAGCGGTCCTTTATTTTTCGAAAGAGCTCCGGTGACGCAGGTGAACCACCGGTGACGCCAGCGAACAGAGTTATCGGCGGAGGTTGAAGTCGTTGATGAGCGTCCAGCATATTGATCTATCGTAAACGTCGACATCGTTTATTCGCTCGAGAATTTTATTCCTTTATCGTGTGACGTCTTCGAATCGCCAGTTTTTCTTACCCACATCGTTGGCGTCCCGTAAACGACGTTGCACTTTTCTTGAACTATCGCCTGCAACGACTGCACGGGATTGAACGAGCGTCCTTGTAGCACCAGAGTGATGCCGGCGTTCAACGAGGAAAGCAAACCTTTAGCTATGCCAAACGCGTGAAAGAACGGTACGTTTAGGCAAACCTTGTGCCCGACGCCGAATTCCGATCTTTTCGTAGCCTGAGAACACCAGAAGGAGTTTGTTACGTCGATCGTGATTAAGGAATATTTGATCAGCCGCGAGATCTTACCAGCATCGTGTTATTCACGAGGGACCAATGCGACAGCAACGCGGCCTTCGGCTTCCCTGTGGTTCCCGAGGTGAATTGTATGTCGGTACCCTCGTAGCAGGATATCTCGTCTTGCTGGGCTGCGATCCTCTCCACCTCGATTCTCGACGCGAGTTCCTCCACGTCGCAAAAACGATGAGTTCCCCTGTATCGATTCGAACACACTTTTATTTTTGTAACTCGTCTCTGTTACAGTTGAAAAGATATGATTATTTAAATGCAATCAAAGCTCCGTTTATTTAAAGTATATTTATACCCAGTTAACTGAACTCCACTGAACTTTTATTATTTAAACGGTTGCAGAGCGTCGTTTCGGTTATACGCGCGCCACGTATAAATTATGAAATGAAATAATCCAATTTCGTATACGAATCCACTTATTTAAACGTGAGCTCCCATTATTCGAACAAGAAATCATTAGTACAGGCTGGAATTCGATGAAAATCCCCTATTATTCGGAACGTTCCCAGTTACCGGTACTGTCCACTTCGGTATAAATGAAGCTTTACCATAAGTATAGTTCAATTTCGATCACATTAACACGTTTTATCTTCGAATGTGTTATTGTATCGCGCAATAGGTATCTATTCCAGCTAGTAACGTAACAGCATCTCGTCTGTGTGTACATGTCAGCCGGTGAATCAAGCCGCGTGTGAGGAGCGGCGGCTGACCATTAACCTAATTGCGTATCGGGGATTCCTTTCGCGGATAGAGATTATTAATCAAATCGGCTCGATGATCGGGCAAAAGTTTGAAAGTTACGAGACCCCGGTTGGAAATAGATTGGAGGGACGCGAATGGGCGCGTTAAACGATCAATCGGCCCCGTTGGTCTTTAAATGACCCGGCTCTCTAGCCTCGAACTCGGCAAACGACTCGACGCAGCGTTTTTCTCCTTCTTTTTTTACCTGGAAACAACCGATCTGGAAATTACATTTTACTTTCCGGATATGAAAAGTGAAAGGGTTAATCGGAGCGTCGAAAGAATATGCAGATGCAAGGGAATGGAAACGAAGCGAAAGGGAAAAGCGTGTCGGGTTCCGCGCGGATCGTTTACAACGTCTGCGACAAGAAACGCGCTCGAGCCAACGATTAAGCCAACAAAGTCGAATGTAGTTTGTGCGTCGTGGATCGTTCAAGCTCGCACGCGATATTCATGAATCAGCGAACCGCGAGCGAAAGAGCGCGAGAATAAATTAAAACTACGCCCGTCTTCGACCTCGGCCGATCCAACTTATCACGACGGAACGGCCGGCCAGGACGAATTTACTTGGAAGAGGGGTTTCTCCTCCTCGGCTCGTTTTAATGCTAGCCCGGCTGCGACCGCGTTTCCTAAGGACGAAGGATTTACGTGGCTTCGTCGCCGACCTGTCCCCTTATCGACCCGAAGTTGCCGGATACCAAGGAGAGTTATCGCACCGTGTCCATTCTCCCGCTTAAATTAGACGAAATTCCAAGGAAACTCGGATATATCATTCGCGAGAGATAGGCACCGTCGAGTCGTCCAACCGATTCGTTTCGAGTCCGCGCCAGGATACGCTCGGACGCTTAAAACGCGGCGACGAGGCGTTTAGTACACGTTGATCGAAGGTTTCCTTACGTCACGTGATCCTTCGAATAGATAATTATGTGCTCCAATGTGGGACACGTTCGTCGCGCCTCCAACAGCATGCGTGGATAGTCTTGCACCTTGAAACTGGCGGGAGCTATTACAGCTTTCACGCCAACCTTTTGTAAACAGTAGCTGATCTCATTCATCTGGTACGTCGGATTGAGCGCGACTAGGATTAAGCCCGCTCTGGCGGCGCAAAGGAAGCCCAACAACCATTCGACGTCGTTCGGACCCCATATTCCTATACGATCGCCGGGTCTCATCCCCAATTTGATCAATCCCGCTGCCAAACGATCGGCGCGACGTAAACACTCTGAGAACGTCAGGCGTATATTTTGATGGACGGAAACCACGCATTCTTGATCCGGCCACCTTTCCGCTGCTGTTCCCAATAATTTTCCGATGGTTTCTTCCCTTAACGGTAGGTCCCCTCCGCGGGCTATCCGGGCCAGACTTTGTTGCTGATTGTGATTAAATCGTTTCTCGTTTCGACAACGATCTGCAGAATAAATAATTTCATAAATACTTACGTAAGTTATCGGTGTTGCATTATCTTACTCACCGATTAGCGACTTTCCCGGATTAAAGACGTCTCCTCGATGTACGCGATAGTTGGCGATCGATGGAAAAGACGAATATCTGTTGAACCAAGAGCGAAACATATTGTTGCATAAAAATCTGCTTCAGACGTGGGTGCAAACGAAAGCGTGAGAAGATCAGAGATAAGGCAGCAGTCGTGACTCCTAGATACTTTTCACTTTGACAATGAACTATGCTAACCTTCCTATATATAACATGTTCTAATCTCAACTCGCTATCCGTCGATAATTAAATAACTAGTAAATGACTGGCAAGTTTGTTTACTATCGCGACTGTATACGAGCAGTCGACTCAAACATCGAAGCATAACTAATGTCGAGGACTGACGATTCTTGACACTTCTGTAACGCACTCGCTCGACCTTTGATACGCAGCTATCGCGCTGTCTTTTTATGGAAGGCATCGGTCTTGCGTAATTGAATCAAGCCGCTCGGTTATGCGACACGTGTCGAGGTGAGATATTTTGATCGGCAAGTGCAACAGTCTGCCCGATGATACGATAATTGAATCTTCATTCATAAAACCTGGCACGTCGTACGATTCAATTTCCACCTCGAAGAAAGGGGATGAAACGTAGAGTTACCGAATTCCTCTCTAAGCAAATGAAACATCTTTCTTTCAAACGGATGTAAATATGTAATAGAGATAGCCCGTAAGAGATCTCGAAGTGAAAAAATAATGCAACAAAAGAAAAAGGGGGATTAAGGTTGAGAAATTGGTTAAAATGTAAAAGCAGCGGACTCGAGATTGGTGGATGGCGTGCCTGCTGGCCCGCGCCGGAAGTCGCGTGTCGACGTCGACCATGCCACCACCGTCGTACCACCTTCTGGCTCCCCACCCTCGTAGTAGGTTTCTCGGCTTCGCCACCACCGCCACCGGTTTACCGCATTTTCTTAGCTACCAACGAAACGGCATACCCCACGACGGAGCAACGGTTAGCTGGTTTTACCGTAGCACGCATCGTTGCAACCAGCTCGAACCGCGTCCGTTGTTGGTGTACCGTTACCACTTGGTTTCGCGCGCTACCCAGGCAGTGATTGGTCGATCCTGCCAGCAGCGAGAGGGTCGAGGGAAAGCAACCCTCCGAAGGCGAGCCTCTGTTACGTAGCGTCTTCAGAATCGTCAGGATAAACGTAACGTTAACCACGCGCCGTCCGAGGGTGCTTCTTCCTCGAACTCGATGAAAGATCTTCTTCCGTTTCGCGAGATCGTTTCGTTGCTGATCGACCTTTGTGTGACGATGTAATAGTTAATCGGTAAAAAAAAAAAAAAAGAAAAAAGGGAATCGTCTAGACGCGTTGCCTAAATAGTAAGGATGTTGGGGCTGGAGGATGAGAGATCCACCTACGAGGTACCATGAGCAGTAACAGCAAGAAGACGTCGGGTGGGAAGGACGACAAGAAGAATCCGTCGAGCAAAGAGGATAGCCCCGTAGCGGCGAAAGATGAGGCCGGAGGGTCAGCGTCTACGGGGAGCACCGGTGGTGCTGGTAGCACGGATGGAGCGCAGCCTGGAAGTAAACCTGGATCGGCTGGAGCAACGAGCCGGGAAGCAGCGCAAAAATTGCTCGGGCTTGCCGCGCGTGGAGAATGGGCACCGGTGGACCAGTTGCTCAAATCTTTGGAGAAGGCGGTGCAGAACGTCGGGGAGGATGCTTCGGTGGCTCCTCTCGCCAGCGTTATGGATCCGGTTAGTCGAAGATCACGGTACCTTGCCTCGAGAAACGTTCTCCTCGATAAACGCTTGTAATTTCCAGGCGACTGGGATGACGCCGTTGATGTACGCTGTAAAAGACAATCGGACCGGATTACTCGACCGTATGATTGAACTGGGAGCGGATGTGAGCGCTCGAAACAACGCAAGTATTCCAAGAAACGTTAATAGAACGCCTGGTCGTGACTTTATAGTAGTTAAACACGAGCAGTAAGATTCGTGGAATTCGTTCGTCGATTCTTCGTGATTCAGCCGCATTCCGGGGAACACGATATTAGCTTTAGAAATCATGCCCTCCGTTGCGTGGCGTCGACACGTAATATTCGAGCAGCTGCGTGGCTTGGCCGCTTGTAGACCACGGTACGTGTACAGTTAACGATCTTGTAATCTTGCGCTAAGTCGAACAGGGCAGGGTAGTAAGATCGCGTGAAGGAGGGCCAAGGCCAAGGGGTTTACCGAAGAGGTTGGAAAGCAAGCGAGCAAGTAGGCCGCTGAGTCAGTAGGACGAAAAAGTAGCTCGATTCCGAGTACTGATTAGGCGGACTTTCCAGATTCTATCGGCGCGTTTCTTCGCGGCCGGCGGCTACGCCCACGCTCACCGCCAATCTTGAAACCTTCGTCGAACGCGAGCCATTTGGATCAGCTGCAAAAAGTTGGCTCCACAGTAAACTCCCCCGAGGAACCTGAAAAAAATTTCATGAAATTAGCTCGACGCACCCTTTTGCCGAGTGTAAAACCGATGGCTAATCGCAGAGGTCGGGGTTGCCAGCCCCACCCAACGCGTGGGATCGACATCGTTTTCGAATCGTTCGACGATAAAGCGTTCGTTTCATTCTGGGCGCGGCAAAACGCGATTTATAACCCGGGTTTCCATACCATCCACTCGATCCGACGAATCTTACCGGTTCTCGCGATTTATTATCACCTAACACCCGGCTATTTCGTTCGATCGGCTGCGAGCAAAAATGTCCGGAAGATGAAAGTGCCGCATCGATCAGCCGTGAATAAGAAACGATCCGTGGTTATGCTAACGAAAATGACCTTCATTTTTCGCAGGACAATTACAATGCTCTTCACATCGCTGCTATGTACTCGAGGGAGGACGTCGTCAAGTTACTCTTGTCGAAACGGGGCGTCGATCCTTACGCTACTGGAGGGGTAATATCAATCATTTCCTTATCGATTATCCACAGATCTTAAACGACGTAATTTTGTGCGATATTCGTTTTTAATTCTTCCACGTAGCCGAGACAACAAACCGCGGTGCATCTGGTCGCATCCAGGCAAACGGGTACCGCCACTTCGATCCTTCGTGCGTTATTGGCTGCCGCCGGACGGGACATAAGGCTGAAAGTCGACGGAGTAAGTAGACCGAAGGAATTTATCGTCATGGTATTGGAAAAGAAATGAAACACGAAAGTTTTCAAACAGACCTATGGATCCTCGAATCGAATTAATGCTTTTTTTGCACGATTCCCATCGCGCATTGCTCCCGATTCTCGTCCAGGTTTCTCGCGTGACGCGAATGATGCCGGAGGACTATCGCTGCCTGGTACCGAACAGCTGTCATAATTCTCCGCTATTTCGTTTCTTCTTCACCCTCTGTCCCTTTCTCGTACAATTCCATCCGGTTTCTCTTTCCTTCTCGCCCCCGCACGACCATCAGCCTCCTAATGTTCTCTCGTTCTTTGTCTCGGCGAAGTACCCATCGATATTTACGTCTACGTACGAATTTGGCCATTTATGGAAATCGTACGAGTTCGTTTTTCTTTATCCGTAAAAATCGATGCTGCTGGGACGATCAGATTTGCGTCAATCAATTAAAGTTAATTTTCATTTAATTCGACGTCGTTACAGAAAGGGAAGATTCCTCTGCTGTTGGCGGTGGAAGCTGGAAATCAGTCGATGTGTCGGGAATTGTTGTCTCAACAAGCGCCTGATCAACTTCGCGCGACCACTCCGACGGGAGATTCCGCTCTTCATCTGGCAGCCAGGAGGAGGGACATCGACATGGTGCGGATACTGGTGGATTATGGAGCGACTGTGGACATGCAAAACGTAGGATACAATTTCGAGCACGTAAAAGAAAGATGAAGATTTAACGTTGATGAAGTAATAATTACAGGGCGACGGACAAACGGCGTTGCACATCGCTAGCGCCGAGGGTGACGAGACACTGGTGAAATATTTTTACGGTGTCAGGGCATCCGCTTCCATCACCGATCATCAGGATCGAACGCCGATGCACTTGGCAGCGGAAAACGGACACGCTTCCATAATCGAGCTGTTGGCCGACAAATTCAAGGCGAGTATATTCGAGAGGACGAAAGACGGCTCGACGCTGATGCACATAGCCTCGTTGAACGGCCACTCGGAATGCGCGACCATGCTCTTCAAGAAGGGTGTATATTTGCATATGCCGAATAAACGGGGCGCCAGGTCGATTCACACAGCGGCCAAGTACGGTCACGTTGGCATCATAAGCACGCTGTTGCAACGGGGAGAGAAGGTATGTATTCAAATTGAGAATTTCAATCGACTCGCTTTAATCTGCCACGTGTTATTCTTTCTCGTTGTATAGGTGGACGCGACTACGAACGATAATTATACGGCACTGCATATCGCGGTGGAGAACGCAAAACCTGCCGTGGTGGAGACTTTGCTAGGATACGGGGCTGAAGTTCACGTAAGGGGTGGAAAGCTTCGAGAGACTCCTCTCCACATAGCAGCCAGGGTACCTGACGGCGATAGGTGCGCTTTGATGTTGCTTAAATCCGGAGCTGGACCGAATTTGACCACCGACGACGGTCAAACACCTGTACACGTGGCGGCGAGTCACGGGAACTTAGCCACGTTGAAACTGTTGCTCGAAGATGGCGGTGATCCTATGTACAAATCCAAGGTAGAACTTTGGTATTATATTTTTAACCCGTCCTATTGTTCTTCTTCTTCTTCTTCTTCTTCTTCTTCTTCTTTTATTACATCCACGATGAGGACATTTTCAGCAGAACGGAGAAACCCCGCTGCACTTGGCGTGTAGAGGATGCAAGGCGGACGTGGCGCGTCACCTGATCCAATTCGTGAAGGAGAAAAAGGGTCAGGAAACGGCGACCTCGTACGTCAACAGTTTGACAAACGAGGGATGTAGCGCCCTGCATTACGCTGCCCAGATCGAACCGTCGGAAGTCGAAACGCCCGGCGACGATCGAGCGGTGATTCGTGCCCTCCTCGAAGGTGGTGCCGACGTGTCGTTGCAGACGAAGCAGGCACAAGAGTCGGCCTTCCATCATTGCGCGTTGGCCGGAAACAACGAGGTCTTGTCGGAAATGATAAGCGGTATGTCAGCGACCGAGGTGCAGAAGGCGTTAAATCGTCAGAGCGCGGTCGGATGGACACCGTTGTTGATCGCCGCTCACCGTGGTCACATGGAACTGGTCACCACGCTGCTTGCCAATCACGCGAGGGTGGACGTGTTCGATTTGGAGGGCAGATCGGCGTTGCATCTGGCCGCTGAACACGGTTATCTTCAAGTATGCGACGCGCTGTTAGCGAATAAAGCGTTTATTAATTCAAAGTCCAGAGTGGGTAGAACGGCGTTGCACTTGGCAGCTATGAACGGTTACTCGCATCTCGTCAAGTTTCTCGTGCAGGATCATGGGGCTGCGATAGACGTTCTTACGCTGAGAAAACAGACTCCGCTTCATTTGGCAGCCGGTGCTGGCCAACTGGAAGTGTGCAAGCTTCTACTCGAACTCGGGGCAAGCATAGACGCGACCGACGATCAAGGCCAGAAGCCGATACACGCGGCGGCTATGAACAATTACGCGGAGGTCGCTCAATTGTTCCTGCAGAGGCATCCCAGTCTGGTGATGGCGTGCACCAAGGACGGGAATACGTGCGCCCACATAGCAGCCATGCAGGGCAGCGTTCGCGTGATCGAAGAACTGATGAAGTTCGATCGGCAAGGTGTCATCTCGGCGAGAAACAAGTTGACCGAGGCGACGCCGCTTCAACTGGCTGCCGAGGGAGGACACGCCGAGGTGGTGAAAGCGTTGGTCAGGGCGGGTGCATCCTGCGCCGATGAGAATCGGGCAGGATTCACCGCGGTCCATTTGGCCGCGCAACACGGCCACGGTCAGGTACTCGAAGTTTTGAGATCCTCCCAGTCTCTTCGTATATCCAGCAAGAAGCTCGGCGTTACCGCTCTTCACGTAGCCGCGTACTTCGGTCAAGCTGGTAGGCTCTACTTCGATAAACACTGGAGAAAGATGAAAAGCTTCCTAGCGAAATTTCTTCTTCCGACGTTTCAGATACGGTCCGAGAATTGTTGACCCACGTTCCGGGCACGGTGAAGTCGGATCCTCCAACCGGTGGTTCGCTCGTAGGAGAATTAGGCAGCGAATCCGGAATGACGCCTTTACATCTGGCTGCCTATTCCGGAAACGAGAACGTCGTACGATTACTGCTGAACTCGGCTGGTGTGCAGGTAACCGGAAAAACAAAACGAACTTCTTAAGTAATAAGCCATCGCAGCGAATAAGATCATAACGCAAGATATTTGCCTTTAGGTAGAGGCGGCGACCACGGAGAACGGTTTCAATCCTCTTCACTTGGCCTGCTTCGGGGGTCACATCACGGTGGTCGGTCTTCTGTTGAGCAGATCGGCAGAGTTATTGCACAGCTCGGATCGGTACGGCAAAACCGGTCTACATATCGCCGCGACGCACGGTCATTACCAGATGGTCGAGGTACTGCTCGGTCAAGGGGCTGAAATAAACGCGACGGATAAAAATGGTTGGACGCCGCTGCATTGCGCCGCTCGCGCCGGTTATCTCGATGTCGTTAAACTCCTCGTCGAGAGTGGGGCTTCGCCAAAGAGCGAGACCAATCTAGGCAGCGCACCGATTTGGTTCGCCGCCTCGGAGGGTCATAACGACGTGCTCAAGTATCTCATGGAGAAAGAGCACGATACCTATGCACTGATGGAGGATAAGAGGGTAAGCTCTGATCACCGTTCACCCAGCTACTTTCCATTTTCTTTTTTTCTTTCAAAACTCCAGCCTCGATCGTAATTGCCGCACGAAATTTCGAAACTTTTAACGCGAACCAGTCGAACCGATAAATTTCGACGAGTGCCAACGCTAGATAGTTAACACGCGATCCTCAACCTTCTCCCCTTCCCCTCCTTTTCATCATCCTTCGTACCTTTTCGCGATTGTACAAGATCGATCGATTTCTTTCCAGTTCGTTTATAACATGATGGTCTGCAGTAAGAGCAACAACAACAAACCCATCGAGGAATTCGTGCTGGTATCACCGGCACCGGTAGACACAGCCGCGAAACTCTCCAATATTTACATGAAATTGTCGGAGAAGGAGAAAGAGAGAGCGAAGGATTTGATAGCCGCTGGTAAGCAGTGCGAAGCGATGGCCACGGAATTGTTGGCCCTGGCCGCGGGCGCCGACTCGGCCGGAAGGATCCTTACATCGATGGATCGCAGGAACGTGGAATTTTTGGACGTTCTCATCGAGAACGAGCAGAAGGAAGTGATCGCGCATACGGTGGTACAACGATACCTCCAGGAGCTATGGCAAGGGAGTTTAAACTGGAACGCCTTCAGGACGATCCTATTGTTCATCGCGTTCCTCATCTGTCCGCCAGTCTGGGTGGTGTTCGCCCTTCCGCTCGGTCACAAGTACAACAACGTGCCCATCATCAAGTTCATGTCTTATCTCACGTCTCACATTTATCTGATGGTCTTCCTTCTGCTGGTCGGCATAATACCGATATATCCGGTGGTGAGAGCTAGCCTCCTGCCTTACTGGTACGAATGGTGTCTCCTCGTGATGCTTTCCGGACTGTTGCTGTTCGAACTGACCAACCCGAGCGACAAAAGCGGACTCGGTTGGATCAAATTGGCGGTCCTGTTGTTCGGCGTCTGCGGCGTCGCGTTTCATCTGATGGGTTTCGTGGTAGTTCACCGACCCTACTGGCCGACCCTGCTTTACCTCAGGAATCAACTGTTCGCACTGAGCTTCTTACTGGCGTGCGTGCAAATCCTCGACTTCCTATCGTTCCATCATCTGTTCGGACCTTGGGCCATCATCATCGGTAACCTGATGAAGGATCTCGCGAGATTTCTCGCTGTGCTGGCCATCTTCGTGTTCGGTTTTTCCATGCACTTCGTAGCGCTGAATCAAGCCTTCAAGAACCAATCGATCCAGGACGCGCGAATAGAGGACAGAAAGAAAAAGGGCGCCTTCCAGGACGGTAAGTTCGACGCACGTTGATCTTAGCCGCGATTCTCATAGACTTTAAGAGAGAAAGGGAGAGAGAATAGCCTCCTGACTTCTACCCCCTGTCTTTTCTATCCCTCGGATACGATCGCAAGCTACTTTCAAAGATTAGAATGAGAAAAAGAAAAGAAAAAAGAAAAGAAAGCTAGCGGCGCGGTCGATGGGACCGCGAACATGCGATACGCGAGAATAACGCGTACGAATGCTTCTCTCCTGGTTTGGAAAAAGCTCGCATCGATGTTCGAAATCGCTCGGAACGTCCGTGCGTAACTCGAGACATTTTCCTTGTCCTTCGCGATGCCTCCTCAACTTGGACGAGTATCGATAAGTAAGCGGCATCATTAGAGAGACTGAGTTCGATCGAATCGTTGTTAACGCTCGGCTTTGTCTAATTCGATACCGCTCTGTCTTCGAAAGATCGACTAAAATCATTTTTTCTCCTTGTTCCAAAACGCATAAAATTTTCGATTCTCTACACGATAGAAAAGAAAGAAAGAAAAGAAAAATACAAGCAGCCTGATTATCTCGTGACAAACGCATAATCGGATCAATTGCAATAATAGATTTGTTGGCCAATGTTACGGAATGGATGATGGAGACGCCATCGACGGCGCCTCCTCGTCGCTACGGCCGCTACAAGAAAAAGAATGAGTGTTGTGACGATAGCTCCCGAGATAGTAAGTTTTGCCGATTGAGAAAGTTTAAAACGAGAATCGCAACCTAACGGATACGCGAAATTTGAATGGCAATGACACGTGCACAACTGAATGCAGGACACGATTCTTCTTGGTGTCGTATCGTCTGCATTGTGCGTTTTGGCCCGATGTGTGTTGCCTGCTGGGACTGCTGCCTGATTCCAATCAACATTAAATTATATACCTATATTTGCAACGTCGCGAGAATTGTTACACACTACGCTGTAACCCGTGCTGTGATTCGGGCTTTTGGGCGATTCAATCATCGTCTCTCTCTCTCTCTTCGTATTGAATATTTCGTTCAAACGCAGGGGTTGAATAACATTTACGATATCGCATCAATTTTACCCCAGTTCGAGACCAAGCCCGAATAGCGTCGCGCTGTTGAGTCCGAATCGCAGCTACTCGGTGTCCACGGCTCGATCTCGATCTCGATTTCGTTGTTTGATCCCGATCTCGAGGTCTCGGTGTCCCACCGAGTGGGTTGGGCGACCACTGCCGGCTTGTTTCTTTACCTCACGGAGGCGCCAATCGAGCGCGCGTTTCTCCACAGCCTCTGTTGTGCATCGTACGCATCTCTCAATCAATATAAAAGAGCAATGTTGTCTTTCTCGTGCTGTTCGAGTCTTGCGCAATGCGTGTTTTTTTTTTTTTTTTTTTTTTTTTTTTTCTTTTGATGTGTCACTGATCGGCCAAAGTCGGATATGACATCGAAGCGACACTTCTCCACATTCGGTGACAATCTTACCGATAAAGAACCACCCCCTTTCGTCTCGATCTCCGTTTTACGATTTCCTCATCCTCGATAGTTCCTTGCTACCGTCAGAATCTTCTATTCCCCCTTCGTATCCTTGTTTCTTCGACTACGATCGCTTCGCCTGTTCTCCTCTCGTCACCGTGTTTCCGGAAAGCAACGAAGCGTCCGATCTTGGTCCTTGCATGCGCACGGTACATAGTACTCCTTTCTTCGTTACGTACACGTGTTCGCTCGCGCGGCTCGTCGCAAGATCCACCTTGAATGTTCGACAAGAAATAAGGGAGAGAGAAAGAGAGCGCGCGAGAGAATGTGAGAGAAAGTGAGAGAGAGAGAAAGGGGACGGGGAGAAAGAGAAGAGAGAAAAACGCTGGTCGTCTGCATGCTGCATCTCATCGTCCAAAAAAAAAAAAAAATTTTTTAAAAAAAGTAAATAAGTAAACGAATACCGATTGTGAATCCCGTGAGTTGAGAGAATCCGGGTATAGAGAAGATCACGCGGAAAAGCCGCGCAAAGTCCGGATGATCGATATAACACACACTTGGCTTATGTAGATCCTCGATGCGTACCGCGAGTGTTTGCGCTGAAACAAAAGAAAATGCAAATGAAACAGAATAGAAACCAAACAAAACAGAAAAAAAAAAAAAAAACAGAAAATAAACGATAGTGACCATCACGACAGTTAGACGACACCCACGAAAAAGTTTACACGACATGGATCGAAGCTCACGGAACGTCCGGCATGCATCCAACGTTATTCGCAAGCATGGCCAGTCTGTATTAGCATGAGCATGTTCGTACATTCATCGTTCGTTCGATCGTTCCAATGTACGTATTGATACACCACCCGCATCCATACATAGCGAGCCCACAGTAGCCAGCCTAAAGGCACGACGCAGCAGTCACGAGAGAAAGCGCAAAAATGAATGCAAACAAACGACATATCAAGACACGTGTGTGTGCCTCGAATTCCAGTAAAGATGAATCCGGTACTCGCCTTCGAGTACCTGTTCTTCGCTGTCTTTGGCCAAACGACCCACGGCGAGCTGAAGGTCGAGACTAATCAGCCTCAGTGGACCTCGGTCCTCTTCAAGTTGGCATTTGGCGTATACATGTTGGTCTCGGTAGTCGTATTAATTAATCTGCTGATCGCCATGATGAGCGACACCTACCAAAGGATACAGGCGCAATCGGACATTGAGTGGAAATACGGGCTCAGTAAACTGATCCGAAATATGCACAGGTAAGCCGGCAAAACGTACCCCGTAACGTTAGGCAAAACGGATCATCGTCGCGTCGAAATTCAAATAACAATTTAATTTGATATATCGCGTATATGAAAAAAAGAAAAAAAAAAGAAAGAAAGGAGCCCGCATTCTCCTCGCCTAAGGAGTGTCTACTCCGTCTGCATATGTATATCCTCTTTCGTTAACAATTTCCGTTCAGCTGCCACCGCGCCGGGTATCGCGCATCTCGTATGTAGATCTTTTTTAAACGAATCTACGGGAGATAGGTTGGACACGCGATTCCGTGTTGCAGAACGACCACCGCCCCGTCGCCTCTTAACTTGCTCACTACTTGGATCGTGTACTTCATCAAGGTGTGCAAGCAACACTCAGCGAAACGAAAACGGCCCTCGTTGATCCACATGATGGGACTTCAGCATGCCGGTCGTCTGTCACCGAGATCGAAGATGGGCGCTAAATGGTTGGCCAAAGTGAAAAAAGGTCAAGTCAGACCGAAAGACAGCGTTACCTTGTCGGTGGTACACTTGAGTCCTCTCGGTAGTCAATTGTCCTTCAATAGCGCAACCAGAATCGAAAGCGTAGTCGATTGGGATTCCATCAGAAAGAAATATCTAGCGTTGGCTGGGAACGAGCCTGAAAAAGAAGCGGATAAGGACGATAAGAACGAGGAGAACGAGAAGGAAGAGGATAACGGACCGACCGCATCGAACTCGTCCACGGTGCCAGCGACTTCAACGCCACCTATCTAGAGGAACCATGTTCCTCGCCTCGGACTAACAAAAGTTCAATCCATAGTCACGAACTTGATTAATTAACGAGCTAACGGTGTCGTACAAATTTTTCGCGCGCTAATTGCGCAGCATTGAATAAAAGAAAAGATACAGCTACGACATCGAACAATTCTAGGTAACATCTCCGAAGGTCGACGACCATCACAATTCCGCGAGATATAAATCGAGCCTTCTATCGTTTCGGAGTTTACGTAAGTAGTGCCGCGAACACGAAACTAGCCAAGTACATAATATGTACGACCGTTATATCGTGCGTCCAAACGTTTGACCCAACTATGGTTATCCTACTTTTGGACTGCACTTCAATTCTCCTCATGGTTCCTCCACGATAGGATATCTCCGACGTGGTACTTTGCCAAAGTAACCGTGATCTCAGCAAACGCATTCCTTTATTTAAATGTATTATAAGACTTTAGAACGACGCCATCTTGCATCGCGTCTTAGCGTTTATAGCGATACAGACACGGCACCTCGACGTAAATACATACCTCGAGATCGACAAAACCAACACGCATGTTACTTTACACGCATACATATAATACATACGTATACATATATACGTACATACAAACAGATCGCATAACAAGAAAACCATGAACGGGATACACAAGAGTTTTCACGAGACATATGTCGTTCCCACGTAATTTCCAGTCAGGATGAGTCCCGTACTGGCCGTTGAGTTATTGTTCTTCGCCATCTTCGGTCAGACGACCCACGAACAATTCAAGGTCGAAATAATGCAGCCCGAATGGACCAGAGTTCTCTTCAAGCTCACCTTCGGTATTTATATGCTGGTTTCGGTGGTCGTGCTGATTAATCTACTAATTGCCATGATGAGCGACACTTACCAACGGATACAGGCACAGTCCGACATCGAGTGGAAGTATGGATTGAGTAAGCTCGTTAGGAACATGCACAGGTAAGGATTTATAATCGTTGCTCAACATTAAAAAGTAAAAAAAAAAGAAAAATATGGACTGTTCTTGTATAGCATATTTCTCGAGAATCGAATCGAGATCAAACTGGTATTTATCGATTACTCGTTCGTTAACGTCGATCCTTCGTGAAAAATGTCTAATTGATCGGAAACACGTTTATCGATGCGCAGGACAAGCACAGCGCCATCTCCGCTGAATCTTCTTACCACCTGGTTGGCGTACTTGTTCAAACTCTGCAAGAAACGCGCTGCGAATAAACAACGACCCTCCCTCGTCCGTTTGATGGGAATGCAGAGAACCGGCGCCCTTTCCCCGCGTTCCAGAATGGGCGCCAAGTGGTTGTCGAAAGTGAAAAAGACACAGGTGGCACACAAGGACAGCGTCGCCCTATCGGTTGTTCACTTGAGCCCTCTTGGTAGTCAGCTGTCGTTCAGTAACGCTGTAAGAATCGATAATGTCGTCGATTGGGAAGCGGTCAGACGAAAGTATCGAGATCTTTACTGTGAAAAAGTCGAGAAACACGTTGAAGAATCGAAAGAATCGACGGAACACGAGCCCATGCCGGCAGTTTTGGAAAGCACGTTGGTCGTTGTTTCAACCGAAAATCAAGCTGCCCCCGCCCCTGTACCATAAACCGAAAAAGGAACCACCTAATTTTACACTTATCCATCTGGTTTTGGATCGTTGCAGCCGATTTCGACTTTAAACGCTGTTTCAACATGTACAATCTCGTCTCGTACGATTTTTCTTATCAAAATAAAACCCAAATCGATCGGATCGTTTTTTGTGATTCTACTATTATTCCGTGGACCTGTCACCCTTTCTCGCATCGATATAACGATTATCGTTTCAACCATGTTTTAGAAGAGACGTTGAAGACGTAGAAGAGATGCTGTGTAGCAACAATACACAGGAATATAAGGTTGCTTGGTTATGGTTAGTCTCTGTGTGTGCTGTCACTCGTATTCGCCGTCCCCTTAAATGTTTCATCAACAAATTAATAAATTAGTTCCACCGCGTTAACGAAAATATCGTTGAAATTGCACTTACCCATGCTTACTGGCCGAACATCACGATGCTTGCAAACTTAACAATATCGAATCTGTGTTTTAAAAACAATCGATTGTATCGCGATTTTCGGTTCATCGACCGTCCGCCGTTTCAATCGAACTTTGTCATCGATCATATCGCACATTCTCTTTATCGATAGAATCATTCGCACGAGTTGCCGCGATATTTTCAAATCATGGTTCCTATTCTTCCTACTCCCCTCTTCATTTCCATCGCATGTGCTCTGTTTCATGCTACGTGTAATCCCTTCCTTTCGGCAAAATGACATTGATTTTCATGAATGGAACGCAACGATCGTAATTGTAAATGTATACACATCAAAAATGACGATGATTGCGCTCCTTCGTGACTAACTCTGGCAATTGTAGATGCTTGATTAACATTCTTTCAGTGAAAGTGAGTCCCATCGATATTACGGAAAATCTTTTCTTCGCTATTTTTGGCCAAAAGGACACGGACGACTTCACGATATCGTTGAAACGAAAGATGCAACCAAGTTGGACCATATATTTGTTTAAGGTCAGGCTAATCATTCACAGCGATTACTCGATAAGTAGAAATTTGTTAATTAAACGATTCATCATCCAATGATACCTTGGTAATGTTCCGGCAGGTATCCTTTTCTATGTACATGTTGGTTAGCGTGATAGTTCTAATTAATCTGTTAATCGCGATGATGTCTGACACGTACCAAAGCATTCAATCTCAGAGCGACATTGAGTGGAAGTATGGGCTCAGCAAACTTATTCGGCAAATGCAAAAGTAAGTATGTAGATCACGATTAGTAGCTAAGCTTTTTGGCCCTGGATAGGTAGTACCATGGCAACTCAAAGGACAGAAGATCCTATTACAATTCGAAACTACCTTTTTAAGAACACGAACTGCGCCTTCACCTTTAAATCTTGCTACATCTTGGATTCCGTTCATTGGAAAAGCATGTAATAGTCGAAGCAGGCAAGAACGAAAGGCAGGTGTAATGCGATTACTTGCAGGACATCCGTTTACGCAGGTACATCGATCTTTCGATATTGCTTTCCTTTCTTTCTTCGATATTGCTTATATTGCTTTCTTTTCTTGTAGGATAACGGAATATTATCGCAACAACCTGATACCATTAGTTTTCCATTACTTCGACCAAGTCCGTTGGAAAGTCAATTATCTTTCAAAGATTCGATGAAAATCGAAAATGTCGTCGATTGGAATCTCGTAAGAAAAAAGTATAGAGTAAGATTTGGTAATGAAATCGAGAAACCTCTTCCAGAAGATTCGTCTACAACCAACGCAAACGTTTAAACAATTTTATACACATATATATACCTCTATATTATTTATAAACACTATAAATTTATCACCTTATCGTAAATGAAATCTATATATTATCACTTTGATATCTCTTTTATTAATTTCATATCTGCTATATGTATGATTAACTATAAGTGTAGAAAAAGAAATAAAGTAGTATGTATCACTAATAAAACGTGCTTAAATCATATTAAATTTCTGAAATTCAGACTTTCTTCAGTACAAAAATAAAAAAAATTTCTTGCAGTTTATAACACACACAAGTTACTTTAGTAATTAAATTTGTTGAGGTATGTTACTTCTCTACCATATCTTTGGTGTGTAGTAACTACCAAACCGAAAGCAGCTGCTTGTTGGCGTATACATTTATCCTCGTCTGATGTTAACGATTCGGGAAGTGGTTGTCTTAAAAGTTCACTATCTTGAACAAATGCTTCGCATATATCATGCGCAGCCTTTTCAAATGCGGATTCTTTCTTCGGTTTGTCTTCATCCTTCAAACACTTTGACCAAAGTTGTTTCTCCATTTCCAAATACTTTCTTTGCTTTTCATTTGCCTAAATTTAATAATGAATGCATTAAAAGTAATTTGACCTTTAAAATTTATACCCTCAATACTCACGAGTCTGATTTCTTTAATAATCTCTTCATTCTTCGGTTCCATTTGTAAAGCAATTTGTAACTTTTCCATTGCCCTATCATACTCTCCCATTTTCAATAATGCTCTACCATAACTATAAAGTAAAATATATGTTATATTCGTTCTTCATAAGTTAATTTGAATGAAACATACTTGAAATGAGTCTTAGATGTTGGAATTGGTACTCTATTGCACGAATTACATACGCGACGTGGCATATTTACTAAATTGTAACAAACTGCAAGATTATTATAGCCTCTTGAAAGCAGTTTGTTCGCTACATCTTCTTCCTCCTGATCTTTTAATGCTGCTTCTTCTAACCACTGAACTCCTCTTGAATATCTAAAAAAGAAAAATAATTATTACATTAATAATTAATGTAATAATAGTAATAACAGTAATGATTAAAACAGTAATGATAACAGTAATAATTAATGAGTTTTGAACATGAGTCATTAATGAATTCTGTTAACTTACTCTCTTATTGCCTGCTTAATCTTATTCTTTTTAAAGCAATCTTTGGCAGTATTAAATTTAGCCTGTGCTCTCTTGACAATATTTGCAAATAACTTTTGCTCTTCTATAGACAAGCTTTTGTAAGATTCAATACATCCACTGTCTAAATAATCAATTAGATGTACAACATACAAAATATGTTCATTTGGAGGAATACGTGGAGCACAACCATATTTTCCATATGCCAAATCAGGATGCACAATGAATATAGCTATTTCATGTTTCTGCATTGATAATAAACCAATTTCTAAACCTGGTATCAATGTGCCTTGATTAAGACAAAAAGTTTCTGCACCTCCACGGACAAAACTAGAATCAAATGGTTCATCACTATATTCAAAGTGAGCAATATATTTTATAGTAACTTGAGCATCATAAGGTATAATTCCTCCAACTCCCTTCTGTTTTATTAATTTCATAACCTACGAATAATGTTAAAAAAATTGATGTATATAAATTAGGGATCCTGGTAACAACAAAAAGTGTTATTTACTTTGCCATCTCCAGTAACGTTGGTCATTTTAGCTTTTAATTTTTCAAAACTTAAACCACAAATTGAAATTGAATTTTCCGTAGTGCGATCAGTATCATAGTCTTCTTCATCCTCGAAGTCATCCATATTTAGAAGATTTAATGCTTCTTCGTTACTCAACGGCAGATCCGAAGAATAACAAAATTCCTCTTCGTCAAGGGTTTCAAAATCGTCACCGATTTCAAAAGCAAAACCATCTTTTTGGGTTAAATCCCTGAAACGAATATTTTTAATATAATTGCACTTATTTATAAGTAAATTACCTCAGAATTCATTTATAATTACTTACTTGAGACTAAATCCCTGCATTGCGTTTATAAACTTCGTCATTTTAACGATAGTTTACAGAAATCATAAACTTAATTTTCAAATGTTAGTCTTAGCTATTTTTGATAGCAATATATATTACAAAATTGCTAATTATTTTAAGATCTTATTATACAAGAATATTATGAAAACGACCTCTTATTACTGTGTGTTTGTCCTTTGAGATTTTTCTATTATATATAATATATAACTTCACGAGAAACAAAACCTTTTTCTCCCACCACCTAAAACTCACGTAAATAAGCTTAGCTAAGGTTAAATTCATGAAACACGAGCGCATACATAACAAATCTATAGACGTAAAATAAAGTCGTTAAAAATAGCGTATTTTTATTATAATAGGTATTTTATATAAATAGAATCATGAATAGTAGAACATTTCTTGATATTGATGATTCGATATTAACAAAAAACTTAATATTACCCGTAAGTAATTCCAATAATTGCCTAAATTTTAATTTAAAATTGTTATATAAATCTTTTTTTTTTAAGGGAAATGCACAAAAAACTGATGAATTAATGAAACAATTTGATTCAAAACCGTTCTTTATTATACAACCTACACCTGGTAATTTATATCAACATTTTAAGTACTAAAAATAATATGTATAAAGTACATAATATTTAGATAAACAATATTACAGGAATATGCATAAAAGCAAAAACTGAAGATGGAGAAAAAATTTTTCTAAATATATGTACATCAGATAAAATACCACCAGCTGAGGATATATCTGATGCAAAACTTTTTAAGATATTAACAGAAGAAAATCCACAATTTGTAATACCTATGAGTATTGGAAATGAAAGACTTGAATCTGATAAGGGTACTTAAATTTTCTGTATGAATATAAATACAGATTTAAGTACAAAATGAAACTTGTAATATTGTAGGTGGAAGTCCTTGCGCAACATATGATATTGTAATTAACACTGCATACTTTGAAAAATGCCAGAAGAAGAAAAATTTTTTATTATTCACGATATCGGTTATCATGGATGGTGTGTCAAACAAATTTAATAAAACTATAAATACAGAGGATTATGTAATCCTTAAAAATAGAAAGGTATGCTCATATAATTAAGCAAAATAAAATAAAATTATAAATTTGAATTTCATATCATAGGTTATTGGTAAATTGCAACAACATAGAATAGAAAATCGAGAACCGCGAATTCCTTCACAAACTAAAAAGCCATTAATCGAAGAGATCAAATCACCGATAAAAAATCTCAGTGAAGATCAAAATAAATCCAATCAGTTAGGTAATGTTTCTTCAGAATCTGTTTCCAATTCAACATTGAATTATGTATTATTGAAACAACCAAAAAAAGGAATGCCTACACATTTGATTGGTTTGTTTCAAATGCCTAAAGGGGTAAGATGATTAAACGTTACTTTTAATCAATAGAAAATTGATATATACACATATTATTATCTTGTACAGATTACTAGTAAAGATGTCGAAGTACTTCTTGACGAAGATCGCGTTGTAATTACCGTTGATAAAACTGGTCTCACACATGACCTTTCAGTTCCATGTATCATAGATATAGAACATGTAAAATGCTGTCTAGATAAAGATCTGAAGGTAAGAATATTAGCTTACTATAAATTACATTTTATTATAAGCACATTATGTTATTACTTTTACAGGTATTAAGATTAGACATGCCTGTAAAAAACGTTTGAGACAACATTTAAACGAATTACTTTATTTAATTTATTTTGTTATAACAATAACCTGATTCACGTATGACAGTAACAAACATGAAACATCATAACATTTAAATATATGTATTTAGAAAATCGTAAAATACAAAAAGTATTATTTGCTACTTCAGTTTCTTTGCTCAACAAAAATAGAATTTTTATATGCACAAATGGTACAACGGAACGCGTATGCAAATATAAACATGAACTGGATGTTTCTAGTAACTCTACAGAGTAATTAGTACTTTTTGTGATGTATTAAATAAAATATGTAAAATCTGAACATTGTAAAAGCAATGTGTAACTTGTGACTGATTTCTGTATACAAAAATAGTATCACAAACACTGCTACTGGAATGATTTGTATGATAGTAACTTCGTCTTATCACATACTACTTTAAATAAGATTCATAAATTCAAGTATACTAGTATGAAATACGGAAATACAAATACCTGATAATTTTATATTTCCGTGTAAAATGTCGGTCGTTCAATTCCAATCATTGTGAAAAAATTTGGCAAGAAGTATACTGTATTTACGCCTATCATAAAACAAGACAAATACTTCTGGACTAGATCAACAATAACCTTATTTTTATTTTCGGAATAATTTTGACTTTTCATGAGCTCCTTGGAATTAATGTTCAATATGGCACACATTGTTTTATAACTAAGAGGCTTGCAAATAGTTCTTGTTGCCAGAATGCAGCAAAATCCAAGTATTGTTCTAAGTATCATACAACCAAACATTGTATGAGATGGCCAAATAATTTGATATGGTGGTAAGTTTGGAGGAGTTAACATTATTCCAGTATTGTAGTTGAGCCACGCTCCTAAATGAATCCCAGTAGTAACAGATACAACCATAGTTGTGTCACCCCTGTAACAGAGGAACCATCGATTACAATTACATTCACGTATTTACGAAATACGGGATTATTATATTTATTACCTGGTTGGTGTCCATTTCTTACTGCAAGGATAATAAACTATAACCACTATACTAATAGTAATTAAAATTGCTAAAGCCCAAATGTTCGAAAGGATATAATAGTCTGTTATATCCACTAAAGGTATTAATATGATCATTAATCCAACAGCTAAGATTAATCCTGCTAGAATGTCTAGCACTGTGTGCATACCCAAATACAGCCTACTCATACACACAAGGGTACACCTTTCAAATACATAAAGATACTCATAGATTAAGTCTTTTATGAACTTTATCAACCTGCTGTTAAAGGCTTGTGTTGTCACTTACCACAGAAAAGCAATTGTCCAACCGACAAACACATGATAAATATACCTATTCATTGTAAATAATACTACACTGAATGGGATTGATATGCCAATCATAGCATGGGTAGATGGCATTCCATATTCTTCTGCCCACTTTGATTGTAATCGAACTGCTGGTGGACAAGCGGGTCTTGGCCAGCATATAACATCCTTTAATATTTGACCTACGGATGTAGTTTTACATTACAGTTGTAATACTTGAGAATAATGTATACTAGATTTTAATGGTTATTAGCTTACCTATAGTCATGATAACAGCCCATACCAAAACAACTCTTCTGCCAACAGCACCATCAATGTTCCAAAACCAAAATGGTATAAATGTAGAATAAAATATTTCATCTCCCAATTGAGTACCAAATAAAAATAAATAATACCAGAAATAATTTTTTATGGTATAATCCGAATTTATAAGAGTGGATGATTGTTGTGCTTGAGTTTTAGTTACATTATTGGATTTTCTCTCTACTGCAGCATAACCATTCAATTTTGATTCTTCATTATTTACCGAACAATTGTTTGTATTATGTTTAAATTTGTGGGATTTAATATTTCGCGTTTCACTGTGCGAGTTTTTGTCGCTATAATCTTTTGAGCCTTTCGTATAGTGTGTTTTAACACCGAAAAATGTTTGAAATTGTGCGACTAAAGACGGATCTTTTAAATATTCCACTATTTCTGACCACATAGTGTTTACATATAATATAAAATTTTCATCGCCAAACAAACATTTCATTTAACAATTCAATAAAATATTATTAAACACGTGGAATGAATAACGACGGCTTTATGCAACTGGATGTATAGATTACACAAAAATCCATAACATCTACAAAGATTAGATTACACATCTCTCATATGAAAAAAAATGCTCTTTACAAAAAACTGCCCTGAATATGTTAAATAATCTATTGATTATTCATCGTTCTTTGAAACTATGTAAACCTATTTTCAAACAGTGAAATTCACTTAAAATTTTCAACATATGAAAAGTTGTAAAATAATACTTGTGTTGTTCATACGTATACGGACAAGTGTAAAATTGAAAATATTGATTTATATCTGTCATTTAGAACACTTTCTATTATTTTCACAGCAATTCATTTTATTTTGTGAACTACAACACAGTTGTAACGTAGGACGCTATATGCTTATACCAGTGACTACACAATACATAGTGTGTACTACCTTAATTATTTTAGAAATTATAAAAGGTACAAAATATTGTTAAGGTGATGCAAGCGTTGAGGCTGAACTCCGAATTCCGCATCGGTAAAACAGGCCATGTTTGATCGAAAATTAAGCTGAAAGGAAACTGATTTAAGCGCCACCTGAATTATTGCATCCAACTAACGTCATGCTATACTACGTTACCTTTCGCAAATACCTAAATAACACATGTATGCTATATGTATAAGTACATAATTAAACAATACTGACCATGCATTCATTATTATTAATTTTCTTTCCGTAAAATTGTATTTGCAATGTGGTACACTTCAGAATCTTAAAGACATAGTCCCTGAAAAAAATACAACAGCGATTAAATAGAAAAAAAGCATTTTCGCAGCCAATTCGCTCGTATTATTTGCTGCATAATTAATAAATATACCATAGAAAAAATGATACAGTTATTAATTAGTCATCAAATAATAACGATTGCCCAGGTCTCACCACGGGGAGGTTGCTGCGGGTGGAGACCCGCCCTACCTCATCCCATCCACCCTCCATTTATGCAAATTTTTATTTTTATTCAATACCATCATCCTCTTGATGCACATTTGCAAAACGTTTTTGACTGTTGTGCAAACGAACAACAAAAGGAGCATTATTTTTATTCACTACCTACCTATCTACTTATCTATACATATATTTACGTAGATTTTTGCTTTTTATTCCTATCGCAACATTTTTTAATTTTGATTTTGATTACAGATCTGTAATTAATAAATATGCAATTGAATATTTGTCCTACATACTTATATTACTAAGAATGGCTACCTAAATGAGCGGTCGTAATTACATTAAAAATTCGCTTAAATCTAACGCTTCCTAATTAAACACTGCAGTATTTGACGATTATATCTTAATGACCATATACATAAATAAGTCCAATGAATTTGTTGATTATGTTGTCCTCACCAGAACACTTCCTGAAATAAAACTGAAAAGGATTAAACGTAATTTAAGAAAATAATGAGGCTCGTGTAGCCTTAATCATTAATTAACAACCTGCCTGAAACAAACAGAAAATGATTAAATACAATTTTTGAAAATAGTACGGTTCAAATATTACCACTTATAAGAATCATTATTCCTTTTCAATCATTTTCACCATGTTTTACTTAATTGGATACATTGAATTCCATTTATGGACGCTAGATTTTATATTACATTTCTTCCAGTCTATTATCCGATATTATTATTTCATACTTCCTATAAAGATATTTCTCTGTAACAGAAACTGATTAATTGAATCCAGATAAAGACAAAGAAAAATTAATAGCTGGAAAGAAGATACATTAATAACAATAAAATTTTATAAAAGTCAGAGTGGTTGTTAATAACTTAAAATCAATTTGATACTTCATAACCAAAATAAAGAGAAAAAAATTCAAAAAAATATATATTTGAGTTAAGTGATTTGAGTTAAGAACATTAATTATTTCATTTTATTGTATTTAATATTCGTTCATTTCGCGACAAATAGCACACAATATTTTAATTGAAACAACTGTCTTTTACTGCAATAAACATATGTATAGTACGTACAACCACGACTCTACTCGACTTTATTGCATTACATTATTCAATACACCTTTCAATGCAAATTTATTGTAAATGGGAAAACTGAAAAGAAAATCACGAGTGGACTTTGCTTTTCAGGAAAAGAATTTGAAAATTTATAAAAGTAATTTAATTAGCTTCTCCGTAAGCTTGAAACAAAACATCACGATCAAAAATTAAAACTAAACAACTCGAACAACAATTATCCACTAATTTTGTTTAAATAAAGTACAATTAAAATTTAATAAGTTATCTCGAATGAACAAATATTCCTTGAAATAATTTATCACCAATCATCACAAAATAAAATGAACTTTCATTTTAAATAAAACTTTGAATAAAGTTCTATTTAAAACTTTATCGTATTTAATAATATTCTGAGAACATTAAATTCATATATTATTTAACAGTATTTCCAACAACCGAACGCTCAAAATTTTCAAAATTAAAAAAAGGGAAGAAAAAAGAATGGGGGCGTGGCAGTGGGAGGGAGGGTACAGGGGAACCTGAAAAGAAAAGTTTGACTGCCCATAAGAGCAATCCCTAAGCAAACCCTATAAAACAAACCGAAATCACACGCAACACTAATTTTAAAATTGCAAACATTCTGAACTATGACAAAACATCGGCTGGCAACGAAGGGTCTCACGCCCCCTAGACTTACGCCAGACGCTACATACCACCCACCCCGCCTGGACGTCGTAACGCCAGGACAGAGTGCACCCCTTCGCTAAGAGCGCTACCCGCCCGTCCAACACGTTGCATCCAACGGTGTCAGATTGACGGACGCCCATAGTATAGACAAAAGGACTGCAGTTTAAAATATGGTAACATATTTTCATATGTTCCGTATTCTAAATCTGCGCCTGCAAAGGCCTAGTAATGCATGGGTATATCTCCCAGAGATGGTGTTCACGGTCTTATGCCGCGGAATCCTTGACTAGCAATGGATTCCCACCGAATGTGAGTCATAGTTACTTCCACTAATTTAATAAATGCAAAAAAGTAAAAAATTTAATAACAATCGCGAATTCAATCGCAACACTAATTTCATTAATTATATAATATGTACAAAAGCGTACGCGTGAATGCTGCTCCATTATGCGCAACGCTAAGCTGAAAAAAAGAAAAAAAGAAAAAACGCGAACTGTAACGCAACACTACTCAAATCTACCGAATTTTGTAAGACGCAACACTAATCTAATAAAGGGGTACAGCCAATCCAAGGCTGTACCACGGCAGCTGGTCCATAGCTGCCTTATGGACCATGGCAACTCCACTGGATCGTTTTGGGGCATTTCATTATATATTGCAACTCTAATGCAAAACGCGAATACTCATTACCACAACACTAATTAGCAGGGAACTCTATAAACTAATGCAAAGCAATCGCGTATTTATAAGTCGCAACACTGGGAAACAAACGCGCTAATATCATTCGCAACGCTATCTTTAACAGACATGCAATTAAAATACAAAAAAGGGGGATTCTCAAACCGTGAATTTTTTACTCGCAACACTAATTTCATTAATTATATAATATATACAAAAGTGTACGCGTGAAGGCTGCTCCATTATACGCAACACTAAGCTGAAAAAAAGAAAAAAAGAGAAAACGCGAACTGTAACGCAACACTACTCAAATCTACCGAATTTTGTAAGACGCAACACTAATCTAAAAAAGGGGTACAGCCAATCCAAGACTGTATCATGCTAGCTGGTCCATAGATGCCATATGGACCATGGCAACTCCAGTGGATGGTTTTTGGGCATTTCATCATATATCGCAACTCTAATGCAAAACGCGAATATTCATTACCGCAACACTAATTAGCAGGAAACTCTATAAACTAATGCAAAGCAATCGCGTATTTATAAATCGCAACACTGGGAAACAATCGCGCTATTGTCTATCGCAACACTATCTTTAAGAGACATGCAATTAAAATGCAAAAAAGGGGGATTCTCAAACCGTGAATTTTTTATTCGCAACACTAAAGCAATCAACATTAAAAAGCAAAACTCTCAAAAATCTTAAAGCAATCAACATCGAAAAGTTAAATTCCATTTTAAAGCAATGCAAGAAAGAAACGCGATATTTAAAGTTCGCAACACTAAATGAAAATCGCGATAATCATGCATACGCAACATTAAATTGAACCGTGATCGATATTCATTCGCAACACTAAATTGAACCGTGGTCAATATTCGCAACACTAAATTGAAAACGCGATTTGCCCAAAATCATGGGGGTCACGAGCCCCCTCTTGTCCTGAAATTACAAAACTACAACTACAGGCAAGCACAGTGACAAAGTAGTAACGATAATGATTTCCCATCCTTTTTTGCAAAAGGATGCAAAATCATTAGTAGTTCCCCTCTTGAAAGACAGTTTGTCGGGGCGCTTCGGCATATAGCCTTTTCTTTCTTTAGGTGGTCCACCCACCTGAAACTTATATCTAAAGCTCGAGACTTGCAAATTCGCAAAACAAAAAAAAACCAATTAACAAAAAAGAAAAATCGCGAAACTCTAATTGACACGTGGACGAAAAAGGACTTTATACGTATAAGTCGTTGTTCGTGCACACGTGCCGTGCTCGAGCAGAACTTGTGCGTTTCGTGCCATCGCGATCGCGTATGACGACTTATGAAGTCGCCAAAAATTTGAAAAATTGTACAGATAGTATCGAAGGCGAACGACATACTCCGTTCGTATCGATTGTATCGTCAATTCTTCAAATATATTCCAGGTACAGGTTGATCACGCGAAATCGCGCCTACCCGACCAAGAGACTGTGACAACCTGTCCCGGCCCTACTTACTTACAATTTATCACACACACCAGAAGGTATACTACCTACCTACCTAACGCTATATTTAAAAAAGGCAAAATCACATTCTCACAAAAATTCATTCCACGACCCCCATACACTCCACCCGGGCGCAAGAGCCTAAACTAGGGAGAACGTCCCGGGACGCCTCCGTCACCCGAGTTTCATCTCACATCACACTCTACGGTACGTACCATTTTTCACTGAAATCGTCTGGCAAGGCTAGCAATCATTGCGTATAATGATAATTACAAAATTTAATTAACTACTTTGATATAGAATATTTCTAAATAATGGTAATAACCATGGTAATAGTAATGGTAATAATACTGTTTGGTTTGTACGTTCATTGTACATCTTATTGAATAAAATATTATTTCAAATTAAAAGTTAAATGAAAAAGTTATTAAACCGACGCAATCCCACAGCCTAAAAACACACACACCATATGTGGAGATTACGTCGTGCACGATATACTAACACAATGCCAGCCGCTAATTAATTATTATTCTTATGAACTAGGTCATCGTGCCCATTGCCTCTACCCATCCAAGTAGCACCTGGGCACGTGAATGGGCTTTGGCAATAAACACGGAAAGGGTTAAACCTGAAAATCCTGATCTACAAACATGATTAGTACATAAACATCTAACGGGCTAATATTTCACTATTTTAATATAATAAAAGTGACTCGACTTTGTAAATATAAAGCTTTAAGAACAAATACTGAAAAGTAAAATTGAGCAACTATGACGCAAACATGGTGCACTGCTAATATCAGCTGGCAACGAAGGGTCTCACGCCCCCTAGACTTGCGCCAGACGCTACATACCACCCACCCCGCCTGGACGTCGTAACGCCAGGACAGAGTGCACCCCTTCGCTAAGAGCGCTACCCGCCCGTCCAACACGTTGCATCCAACGGTGTCAGATTGACGGACGCCCATAGTATAGACAAAAGGACTACAGTTTAGAATATGGTAACATATTTTCATATGTTCCGTATTCTAAAGCTGCGCCTGCAAAGGCCTAGTAATGCATGGGTATATCTCCCAGAGATGGTGTTCACGGTCTTATGCCGCGGAATCCTTGTAACTAATTTGATTAATTAAATAATAAAAAGGATTGAGTTTAAAAACCAAAAGGATTCCCACCGAATACTAGTCAGTGCATCGTCATATTTACTCTCGCGTCGGAAATTTCTCGCAACACTAATTTAATAAAGGCAAAACTCTAATAAAAAGGAATTTAATGTCAAAATTGTATTTGATATTTTATTAAAAGCAAAATGACTAATTAAGAATTCTTTACAATGAAAAAAGAATTTATTATGAAAATTAATAAAAAATTAAAACATCCTCGGGTGACTCCCTCCTCAGAGTGTATTGAAAATGTGTCAAAATGTATTGAAATAGATCACTCTGGCTTGGAAATCTACCCGTCACGAATTGTCTTCTTGCACATAAATTGTTCAATTTTACATGAAATGAATTGAACTTTACTCCTCGTAAAAAAGTCTCAAATTATATTTGAATTTACAATGTACAAAATGTAATGAAATCAATGTAAGATCATAATTAATATGTATATTCAGTATACATATTATATTACCAATATCATATCGATTTGAATAAAAACTAAATAAAATTGTTTCGGTATTAAAATATTCTAATTCCACATTTAAGAACATTTAAGAACATTTAAGAGCATTCATATATTTCATAAATATCTATTGGAATATGTGGAATTGAAATGATATTAAAAAACGCGGAGTACAAGAAGACCTAGCCTAACTAAATGAAATGAAACAATAAAAATGTCACTACTCATGGGTATGTATAATCATACCCATGGTCACTATGCTTGCCAAGCACGTATACAACTAGTAGCCCGTGTCGATTCGGACCATTCGTCCTACAACATGATTGGGCACCAGAGGAACCATAAAACATGCGACTCACCGTTCGCAGATATACTCTTCTTCCGACAGTCAAGTAGGAGGATGGACAACACCAGGTAGGAGGCTGCCTTGTAGGAGAATACTGAAGTCGTGAAGAAATTCATCTGTAACAAAAAAAGAAGAATTACGGTTAATTTTGAAAATTATCAATTTTTATTCTAACAAAATTATATATGAAATTGAATTTTATAAAATATTAGCAATTAAAAAGAAATCTCAATTATCAAGGGTTGAAATTGTAAATTATTCTATTTTAATAAAAAGCAATTAAGTGACGTACCAAGACGGAAGTCGTGAAGAAAGCCATCATCAGGATATCCAGGAACTCGGCAATCAAAAAATTCATCTGTAACAAAACAAAAAAGAATTACGGTTAATTTTGCAAATTATCAATTTTTATTCTAATAAAATTATATATGAAATCGAATTTTATAAAATATTAGCAATAGCAATTAAGAACTTTCAATTATCAAGTATTGGAATTGTAAATTATTCTATTTCAATTAAAATTAATTAAATAAAGTAATAAGATACTTACACTCTTTCCTTATGGAGCACCGCCCAAAACTCCTCTTCAGTGGTGCTTTGACTCTAATCCCGAATATATCGAGCAATTAAAAAAAAATTAAAAATAAAAATAGTAACGCGACCGTGAATAATTTCCGGCGAACAATTGTAAAGACTCTACTTTCACGATGGAAAAAGAAAAATCAGAGCCGCGATGCTCTAGAAAATATTTTATTATACGCAGCAAACACTGATTCTACTTTCGCGTGATTCCTAATTGAACAAACGCAACTCTATTCAGGGCCAGTTCACCCTTGTCAAAATCAAAACATTGTAAGTACGTGCAAACACTGACTCTACCGACCGCCTTGCGCGCGGCCACAACAATTCCTGGAAGAAAAGCTTAGTGAGCAGGGATGGGCTGGGTGGAAATATACAAAAGAAAAAAAAAAAAAAACATTCTTCCTATTAAGCATTCGTTAAAGAAATACTGTTATGTGTAAATGGAAATATCAGTGTTCGTGAAATATTTTCAACGAACACGAATATTATTTGAGTTGAATATGGATCCTAGATAACATCGTAATAACGAAATGTATTAAATAATTGTTGATAATTATTCCAATGAATATTGCAAGGATAAAAATACATTGTTAAATACATATAATAAACTATTTTATTAAAGCAGTGGATTTTTGTTGTTAAAATTGTAAGCATATTAAAAATTGTTGGTAATTCTATTACGTAGTAATTTATAAATTATCTAATTCTTTTCAATAAGCAAAATCCAATAATTAATCATGCTTAAACAGCATGTGATTTAAAAACGTGATTCTATTTTAATTGTAACTTGCATCGAAAACTGGATATTATAATATAATTACTACAATTTAACAAAAATAGATTGTTTAAAATAATTAATAATTGCAGAAGAGAAGCAATCATTTGCAGTAAAATACGAATTATTTCAATTTTGTTCTAATTTAAAACAAATGTATTAAAATACTAGACGAAACTATTTAATAAAATGAAAAATTAATTATTCTTTTTCTATGAATTGATTAAAGAAAAAAAATATCTCTAATCTTTTCTTTCTTGGTACCTTGGTACCAATTAATTATCAAAAATGCTTACAATTAACAACGACTCAATGAAAAAAAAGTAATAATAAACGTAAATAATTGATTAGAATAAATTAAAACAATAAATTCTTACGAAATTCTATGTCAAACCCATATCAGGTGTCACGGCGTGCTTTCAAACTCTACCAAATATCTGTAATAAAAAAGAAATACGAATTTATGTAAATAAAATTTAATCAACAATAATAAAGTTATTATTAATAAACGATCGAACTATAATTGATACAAAATATTTTAATAGATAAAACGTGTACCTATTACTTATGCGGAAGGATGCTCTCAACAGGTCTTGTCACTTGGACGTTCGCGAGAGAAATGGCGAGACCTTCCTTTCCGACGAAGAGGGGTCGGCACTTCGGCAACTCTCGGCAATGTTCGATATATTCTGCTATCGGCCGATACCTAACGAAGTACACGAACAGGTCTAAACAGGAATAATATTACGATGCTCAAGAAAAAACGTTATTAAATTAAAAACAGCAAATTGTGTGAAACGATACGAAAAACATTGAATAATGTTCAAGAAATTACTGATATAAAGGGAAAATAATTCAGATTCTGCTGTTCCAATTCCATTGTGAATTCACAGCAAGAGCAACAAATGTCAACTCACGTATTTTTAAAGATAACCTCGAATTAATGTCAAAAATCAGGAATCTAGACTTCTCTCCAGCTATTCTTTCTATTTTTTGTACTTTTAACACCCGAAAGACAATTTAATTTAATGTTTGAAGATAATTTAATCTTACCTGTTGCAGACGCGTGGAAAACAAACGAAGCTTCCAAGAGGACTGCTGCACTGCGCCACAAATCGACGCACTCGCTCACACAACGACGTGTCTGATTGGTCGAAATGAGAGGACGCCAACATGGGACGACCAATCACAGCCATCGATAGAAGTTTCAAAGTGCTTCGAAACTTTAATACTAATCGTAAGGGAAAGGTTCGTTAAAAATTATCGACGCCATATTGAAATAAAATCAAGATTACTTTTCTCAACTTTAAACACCAAAATATAAGAAACAAAGTAGAAAAAATATAAGATATTGGCGGGATTTAAGAAATTATTGATATAAAAACAGAATAAATGAAGGAAATGTTATTTTAATTCGTATCTACATCGGCGTAATAGTAAAAAACGAAAAAAATCAATTATCACGATATATAACAATAAATTACGGGAAAAATGTACTAAAAACATGAAAAAATGCAATAATATTCGAAAAATTATTGACATAAAGGGAAAATAATTCAGATTCTGCTGTTCCAACTTCATTGTAAATTCACAGCAAGAGCAACAAATTTCAACTCACGTATTTTTAAAGATAACCTCGAATTAATGTCAAAAAACAAAGAGCTAGACTTCTCTTCGGCTATTCTTTCTCTTTTTTGTATTTTCAACACCCGAAAGACAACTTAATTTAATATTTGAAGATAATTTAATCTTACCTGTTGCAGACACGTGCAAGACGGACGAAGCTTTGAAGAGGACTGTTGCACTCTACCACACTCCGCGCAACGCACCCTTTAACGATGAATCTGATTGGTCTAAATGGGAGGACGCCATAATGGAATGACCAATCACAGGCATTGGTAGAAACTTCGAATTGCTTTGAAACTTTAACATTAAAAGAATGGAAAGATTCGTTGAAAATTATCAACGCCATATTGAAATATGATCAAAATTACTTTTTTGACTTTAAAGCACTGAAATATAAGAAAAAAGATAGAAAAATACATAAGATATTAATGGTATTTAATAAATTATCACCATAAAAGCAGAATAAATGAGAAATATGTTATTTTAATTCGCATCTGTATCGACAAAATAGAAGAGTTTTTAAATGTACACATGTAACGCTTGTATAAAAGAGATCATCGTAACATGATATTTAAAATTTTCAACAAGTACAAATATTTCTACAAAATTTGTGGGTGGACTTCACTTCGGGGACCCAAAAATTATGGTCTTTTTTTTATCTTCTTGAAGTATGTAACTAGTAGAATCTAAAAATCCAAGTTTTAAGGCGTGGAATCCACCAGTTCAGAAGTTATGCATGGATAAAACTGAGCGTTTTTAGCGTATTTGACAGGTTATTTCGATGCCATATTGACTTAGCCTGTTGTCGTCTAATGAGTGGAGTCGCCGTCGGTAAAACAGAATGACATAAGTGGCGGCCTAAGTTTATAGAAAGCATATATCACATTACTAATTACAATATATTAATACAAATACTTTAAAAGTGTTTTTAAATTTATAGTTGTACAACATAATACAGTATATTCAAACATTATATAGTTCTTGTCAAAGTTTGAGCTCCGTATGTATGCTCTAATTCAAGTCTTTTAGTTTCCATTCGTAACAATAATCTTTCTTCGTGTGCATTATCCCACTGATTATTGCTTAGAACTATTTCTCTTTTAGGGCGTAATATATGTTTAATATTATCATAATGTATATCTAACTCTTTAAATGCATTTAAAAGAAATATGGCAATTATTACAATTAAAAAACCACAACAAGAACCTAAAATATCTTCTGTGCTCATGTTTTTCCATTCTCTAAATAATATAGCAGATGCAATTATTACTAATGTTGTAAAAAATACATAGTACACTGGTGTTACAACTGTAGTTTCAAATAAGTCAAGCGACTTATTCAAATAGTTCATTTGTACACTGATACAAAGTATAACAGTAAATAAAAAAACCCATGTTAACCAGTTTGCAAATCCATTGTTATATCCTGTAATTGTTTCTTTCAAAGCCAGTCCTAGTCCCTTACAGCTCATAACAGTCAATGAGCCAACAGATGAGCACAGCCAAATATATATCACAATATTTTGTTTTCCATAAGCAGGACCAAAATAAAAAATTATTAGAAGACTACATATTATTACACTTAAAACATATATAACATATCCTGGACCTTTAACCTTATCTAAAAGTTCATCCAATGTACTAACTTCCTCTGCTTTTGGAGAATGAAGTACAAGAACTGTTGAACCTAAGATACATAAAAGACAACCGATCTGAAATAGATATAACTGTGTCATTTTTGTTTAATATATACATTACATAAAATATATGTCATTTGTACATATACTATGATATTACCTTTCCCAGTAAATTGAGTTTTTCATTCAGGTACTTTGATGCTAATATTGTAGATATTAGAACACTAAGTGCTCCTAATGGAGTAACCAATGAAGCAGGTGCAAAAGTGTAAGCAGCAAAATTAGCGGCTTCTCCTATAGCCACTTTAATAGAAATAAAGATATTTTTTCTTTACTAAAAAGGTTACAGTTTCTTATAAACACATTTATATTCTACGAATATTGATTTATAATACAAAATCTATTCCCATTTATTCATTTCACCTACTTGAAAGAAGGCCAGTCCACCATATCCACTCTTTCAGATATCCGAATCCTCCAGACGAAGCTCGTAATCCACCGTATCTTTGAAGACGAATTAATGCTTTTTTCTTTATAATAAAACTAGCACCTAAATAAATACAACAATGTTTAATGATCAATTGCTTACAAATTTTAAAAGTCAACTAACCTATAAAACCGTTAGAACTAATGGCTAACCCTAAACCTATATAAAAATCTGTTGTGTTATTCGATTTTGCACTATCCATGATGTTTGACCTATACTTCAATTCAAATTCTGATACTATTATTTCTTATTGAATATTAATATTGTATAAAACTAATTTATCCGGGAGTGACAAATTTTATCTATTTATATATGGACGTATTGGGATGTATTTAAACCATCAAATGAAATTATCTTTGCGTCAACATTGTTGACTTGCGGAATAGCTCTTTCTGAAGAATGCCTTTATTGAAACGTTTTTCAAATGTTTTCCACGGTTTTATAACGAAAATATTTGGTAAAGGCGGCGTTTAACATTTTCTTCTTTATCGACTTCGACGCCGACCGCCTACAGAAAAAACGAGGAACGAAATTTGTGGTCTGTTTTACCTTTTTGACGTCTTTTGCGAGTGAAAAATCAACGAAATCGTAGTTCTCACTATTTTTCTAAACTAAATCTTTTACACGATCCCCTGAGTGCTCGTTTTGCTCTATCCGACCCAAAGAATGGCGCTCTGGTCTCTATTTGGACATACAATTCGCAAAAATGTTTATATTACGAATAAATTAATGCAGGTGAGTCCGATCCGCCATTTTCTTGACCGTGGACAAACACCAATTTCAATATTTTATAACTTTTTTGACGATTTAGGTAAAATAAGGAGCAGAACGCCATTCTTTAAGACCTCCTGCACACGTCTCTCAAATTTCGTTGTAATTTGTTCATTAGGAACAAAGAAAGGTCTATTCGCGTTTTTAGGGATTATTCGCGTTTTTAGGGACTGTCGGTAAAGTTTTCGAAAAAAAATACGAATTTGATTAATTTCATGATCAGCATTATTGATTACTTTAGTCAAATATCTGTATACAGAAATACATTACACACTGCATTTATTTACTCATTTGTAAGTATAAAAGAAATAAACCAGTAATATCGAACTAGTATAAAGATATTAAAGAAACAAATATTATAAGAGCAAATGTAAGATAAAAAAATTGTATTTAAGTTTTACCAACAACCTTGTTTGTCTACAAGTAATGTTTTCAATACTTTCTGACAAATCAATCTCATGGTATGAGTGGGCACTACAGAAGCATATAAAATACAAAGTATATGATCTCCCTGTTTAACTGCATAACACTTGTGATACTCTGAACATAAATACGTTTCCTTTGCGCCAACAAATTGCCAGTTATTGTCGCTTATTTCATCACAAAATTCAGAGGATAATATAAAAGTCTCCACAGCTTGATGATAAAAAGTTCTTAATATGTCTAATCTGTGTGAACCGCTGATTCTGTTTTTTGCATATTGAGTGTTTTTACTCAGTATAAATTTCTGCACCTTGTAATTCGCCAATAGAAATCTAAACGCATAGATAAAACATATTTTAACACTTTTTCAAAAATATAGAATGTAAAGTATAAAATTATTTCAGTAAAATATTTGTAAATGTATTACCCAAGTGTTTCTGAATCTAAATTTATAGATATAGGTAAATTCCGTGGATAGCATTGTTCCGCATGACGTAAGGTATCGATACCATTCTTCCAACACTGTATAGCAAATCTCTCGATTTCTGATAATTCTGGATTCGGCCCGCATAATGTTAGTACCTCAATATGATTAATCAATCTAACAGACACCAATCTAAAAGCTATCTATATAGTCTCCCATGGTAAAAAAAAATTTGCTTTATTAATTAAAATCTTTATGTTACAAATTACTAAAATAAATTCATGTTCAGAAAGTGCTTTTTAAAACTACTTACATTCGGACTTTTATAAGGTAAAAATACTGGAATATCACGTGTAGTATAAGTATCTTCGCTGTTAACAGCTATTATTAACAACTTTCTTTCAATTGGGTTTAAACTCCACCATCCTTCAGTGGCTACTACTAAACATCCATGTATTAAAACACAGCCATATATAGAATCCAAACATTCCACGTATCCCTCTAAGTAAGTCTTGAATATATTATTACTTAGTAGAAAACCAATTAATAAAATAAACAAATTTTAAGTACCTGCAGTACATTATATTCTTGACACATAATGCATTCTGTCATGTTGATGATGTCAGTTTTTGAATAAATTCCATCTCCAACATCGATACATTGTAATAAACTGTCAACAACTGGACTACATAAACGCATATCTTTCTTCAACTTTTCAATATTTTTTGTGCTCTTTAATTCTTCGATACCCACAAATAAAATCATTGCACCAAAAACAGCATCAAGAAACTTATTTAAAACATATTTTGTGGTACCACTCGCAATAACTATTAATGCAATGCTCTGTTCAAATTCTTTCCACATTATAGTTGTATCAGGCAAATCAGTATTTAAAAGCTTGATGTCTTGCGACTTGAGAAACATGTGTATTCCATTTAGAGATGCTATTTTAGAAAATGTCATCTATAAACGTAAAGCAGGAAATTTAAGTTCATATCTATATTCATAAATCATATATATATTTTTTTTATTACATAAATATTTTACCGTATCTCCTTCACCCTTTTGTCGAGAAAACAAAGGGATGCCGCCAGAAGAGGTTAAACACATAATATGGGCTACCATGATATTTACTTTCTGTTCTTCATGCGTTAAATAACGTAAATAATTTTAATCAGTACTTTCGTTTAATTATATAAGGGTATTTACATTTATATGTTTCTTCTTGCTGTTCAAATTAAAATTTTGTTTATGGTGTTAATTTTATTTCGTTCTTGTTGGTAGAAATATGTAAGTGCATACATACATAATATATACAACCATATATCTACAGGCAGGCAAAATTATATATATGTATATATAAATATATAAATGCGTATATATATATTTTTATAAAGACAATATAACCTATACACCAACGCTTGTGTTGATAAACTTTAATTTATTGAATTCGTGTAAGATTGAAATATAAAATGAAACATCTTTTTTATGACAAATTACAAAATATAAAGAATAAATGTATTTACTGGTCATGTATTTTACATACCTACATATTATGTTACATACTTGACCATGTATACCGCAGTTGACCGCAGTTCACCAGAGTCCATAACTACGAAAAGACCAGTTTTCGTTCTTCGCGCTTCTCCAGTGCGCATCTTCGCCCTGATTGGCGATACTCCCAAACGAAGTGAAAAGCGATTAGCAGAGAGCTCGCTGCGTTCCCCCACCATCTTCCAACCTGCGCGTCGCAGTTATGGACTCTGGTGAACTGCGGTATAGTATATATTATATGTATATGTATATACTATATTTTTGATCATATCGATCATGATCCTAATTTTTAACTAAAGTTTGTATTTCATATTTTTATTCACTTTTAAACTACTATGTAGAAACATTTCACATATACGTGAAATAAAAAAATTGAAGAAACAGTATTTAAAATTTATTATAAAAGATAATCCTGTATAACTTGAGCTTCACTGGGAACACATCTTACTTGAATTTGAATTTCAATATGATCAATACTATGAAACTTATTTTTAAAATGGCAAAAAAAAGTAAATATAACACGCATATGAACGTATGCACGTGTAGGTATTTATGTACATACATATGTGTATACATATGCACATCGCTATACGAAAGATGTGTGCACGCGTCTGCGCGTGTATAGATGCATGCGCTCATAAGCAGGTACTTATATAAATTCCATAACTTCACCATTCAATAGATGGTAATTTTAAAAAATGTAATAAAAATTGATGAAAAGTTAATTTAATCAATATATTGTTACAGACAAACTTTAAGGGAGGAAAATTTATGATATGCGGATGTTGATACGTTTACGTTCAAAATGCAAATAATCGCATAGATATGTTCCACAACAGGACGTAAATAAGTACAATATATGTAGAATGCCAATGAACTGTGTTTTTATTATTTTCATATTAAATAGATTTTAGTGTAAGTTAGTTGTATGTACGATAATAGGAAATTAATAAAATTCATTAAAATATAATTTTGGTTATTTTATATTTTCAATTCATTTCTTGAATTCAGATAATTTAAAAAGAAAAAATGAAATTAATGAAAATACTAAATAATTATATGTCTATGTACATGTATTATATTGATTCGTTGATAAAAAGATTTTAAAAAATTATGAACAATTACTTTATACACATTTTCTTCTAGTTTGAGAACACTTAATTATTAAGATCGTATAAATGCAAGAAGAGATGTAATGAATATTCGAGAAGAGGCAGAGGGAAAATGAAAAAGGAATGAACTTGATGAAAATTAAATCGATTTGAGTGAAATGTTCACTATACATAGGTATGGAAAATAGCTGTTGAACGAAAGAATAGAAACGATTAATATAATGTTGACATCCATTTGGCACAAAGAAGCAGTTGCAAATTGCTGAAGAAATATTTGCATGATCAAGCTTTTGAACATACTTTCTGAAAATCTGATATTTCGTGTGCTTCACTAAATCCTAAACACTATCTCCCAAATATACTAGACATATTAATTATAAAGAGCGATCTGTTTTTTCGCGCACAATCTTCGTGTATACTGTAAATTACGAAAAAGAGTGTCAAGTCGGTGTAGGAATGTGGCACTTCAAAATGGCTGCCAGTTACTTTAGTAATTTACGGCTGTATCTTTCTTTGTTGTTGCTGATGTAATTACGACTATAAATTGGAGTACTACAGAATTAATTTTAAGGAAAAATAGTGAATTAAAAGTTCTATGTGCATGTTACCTTCGTCACATGGGTTCTGTGGAAACGTGAGAATAGAATATGCTCTAAACTTGTTCTCTCTTGATTACTACTTCGGTTAAACTTATTGCAAGAAATTTTTTAGCCAATGTCTTTTCGTCTATGAAGAAAGTGTGTTACTGTTACTCGTTTTGCATACAAAGGACATTCTGGATCGATCTTTTACGCATCTAATGAATAGGTTAGATTTTTGATCGATCTCAATATTATGTAGCAAAGATTAAAAAAAATTTGAGATTACATACGAGTCTGTTTTATTTAACAATGTAGGATTCTGAATAATATAAAGAGAAAGTTACGAGTAGAAAAATTAAGTAATTTTACTAGAATTAGTAAAATTAAGATGTGCAATTCAATGAATAATGTATGTTGATATTTACCGATTCATTAATATCATATTTTTATTATTGTTTATGATTGTAAAGTATTTTGATTTGAAATAATGATATTTAAGTTTGTTAATGCATAGTTCTTTGGAGTAAGTCAATGTTTGTACTGTACATGTTAAAAGTTTTTATTAATGTTAAATCACTTTCACAAGAATGGTGTTAATAGATTTATTTGGTTTACGATAAGGAATCTTATATGGTATCTATTATAGTGAAGCTAGCAATGATACTGTTGTATATATCAGTGGTTTCATAAATATTAAGTAACAACATACGGATGTTTATGTGGCTAAATTTCAAAGTATATAGAACTTATTGTAAAATGTGTACAAGGTTTTAAAAAAATAACTCCATGTTATGTTTTAGATGTATGTATACATATATATATATGTCACAGCCGGATTAAAGCTAGGTCTCAGAAGGCCTAGCATGGGCCACTATGAATCCACCCGCAGTTAACAAATCGAGCACTCGTGGCTCTGGATATCATCAAAAGGCTTTAGCTGAAATTCGCAATTCTCTATTACCTTTTGCGAATATCGGAGGGACAGGAGAAGTAGGTTCTAGTGCTGCTAGTACTATATCTACTTTATCCACAACCAGTGGCATCAGTTCAGCCTCAGGACTTAGCGGTCTTTCTGCAGCTTCTGGTTCTACTATAGATAAATCTGATCAACGTCAACTGTTAGCCCAGTTATTAACCATGGGATATTCAGAGGTAGGTTAAATATGGTTAAAGGTGCCTTCGAAAAATATACAAATACGTTTTTAGATAATTTCTAATATAATTTGAAACGTGCAGGAAATCGCATTACGAGCTTTGAAGTTAGCCGGCTGGCGTTTAGATGCAGCTATCGAATTCTTGAAGCAGGCTCAAGGAGAATCTCTGAACGGACTTGGTAAATTGAACAGCAAGTTAATAAGGAAGCCTAGTTTGGAAAGAGAATTAAGTCTACAACGTGGTAGTCCTGCGTTGGACAGCGGAGCGGGAAGTTCACGATCCGATAGTCCTCGTTTGACGGAGCTTAGTCCACATCCGCAGTTGAGTCGACAATATTCACCGAGTAATTTTGTAGAAAGAGAACCACCTCCTCCTCCACCTCCTAGGTGCAGCTCGACACCGCCACCGCCTCCGCCACCTCACGCACCTTATAACCAGCCGAATGTACCTACTAATATGCAGCAGATGCTGAAACGTATGTCTCCCGCTCCGGTTGTTCCTACTCGACCACCTCCTACTACACCCGGTAACACTGGACCGATTTCAACGTCCGTTAATCTGCCGCAAAGGGGCACGAGTCCGGTGGCTAGTTCAAACAATAGTTCTAATACTCGTCAACCTATGATCGTTCAAAATGGTCCTCAAGTTCAACAGCAACTTTCTCAACAAATGCAGGCTCTCAGTATTTATCAAGCGAACAATAGCACTTCGAATACTCAAGTTGAACCACCACCTCCGTATCCAATAGTTTCTTCATCGTCGGCTGGTCCGGTGCAACCACCATCATATAGTGCTTCTATGCAAAACAGGCAGAGCCCTACGCAATCTCAGCAAGATTACCGTAAAAGTCCTTCGTCCGGTATTTATTCGGGTCCGACATCAGCTGGTTCGCCGAGTCCTATTACCGTTTCCGCTATATCTCCGAGTACCCAGGCATCAATGGCCAGACCAACTCCGTTACAGGCTTGGGGCGCGCGGCAAGCGAAAACGCAGCCGCCGATAATTATGCAATCTGTAAAGAGTACTCAAGTACAAAAACCTGTGTTGCAAACAGCAATTGCGCCAACATCACCTCAACCGATTTCTACCACTAGCAATACACCTCCGCCTCCACCTTCTTATGCATCTTCGATTCAACAAAAGCAACAACAGCAGCAGCAACAACCACAACAGCAGCAGCAGCAGCAACCACAGCAACAGCAGCAGCAGCAGCAACAACAACAGCAGCAGCAGCAGCAGCAGCAACAACCACCACCACCTGCTTACCCCCCAGTAAATAACGTTGGTACAACATCCGCGAATAATATAAACGTGGGTGTTTCTGTAGGGGTACCCACCACGGAACCGCCGAGTTATGCAATAACGATGCAGGTATTAGCAGCGCAACGCGGCATGCATCATCCTGTTCCTCCACCTCCGTACGGTACAGCCAACACGGAAGATTCAAGCGGAATATCAACGATGGAGAACAACGCATCCCTTAGATCGTCTCCGGTCGCTCTTCACCCTCCGTTACAAAGAAAATATTCGCCTGCGGATAGTTGCCAACATTCGACAGAAACTCCACCTTTGCCTCCGGTGGCATCGACTTCTGTCCAAACAAGAAGTAACAGCTGTAATAATAACGGCAGTAACAATAATAACAACAACAGCAACAGTAATCCAAGTGGAAACAATAATAACCATAGTAATAATAATAATAACAACAATAATAATAATAATAATAATAACAATCATTCACCGGATAACAATGGGGCAAAGGGTAATTCACCTTCGTCTTATAAGATCAAGCATCAGTCTCCGATACCAGAACGCAAGCATATGAGCAAAGAGAAAGAAGAAGAGCGTAGAGATTGCAAAGTTCGTAATTACTCTCCTCAGGCTTTTAAATTTTTCATGGAACAACACGTTGAAAACGTGTTAAAATCTCATAAGCAACGATTGTATCGGCGGCTTCAACTAGAAACAGAAATGGCTAAGATAGGTCTTAGCGCTGAGGCTCAGTGTCAAATGAGGAAAATGTTGTCGCAGAAGGAATCGAATTACATTAGATTGAAACGTGCGAAGATGGATAAATCGATGTTCACGAAAATTAAACCAATCGGGGTCGGTGCTTTCGGTGAAGTGACGCTTGTCAGAAAACTGGACACCAACCAGTTTTATGCGATGAAAACTTTAAGAAAAGCGGACGTGTTAAATCGCAATCAAGTTGCACATGTTAAAGCTGAAAGAGATATACTGGCAGAGGCTGATAACGAATGGGTGGTAAAGCTCTATTATTCCTTTCAAGATAAGGACAATTTATATTTCGTAATGGATTACATACCTGGCGGTGACCTGATGTCCTTGCTTATAAAGTTTGGGATTTTCAAGGAACCATTGGCAAGATTTTATATCGCCGAGCTAACGTGCGCCGTTGAAAGTGTTCATAAGATGGGTTTTATTCATCGAGATATTAAGCCGGATAATATTTTAATTGATCGAGACGGGCACATCAAATTGACAGATTTTGGGCTGTGTACAGGATTTCGCTGGACCCACAATTCAAAATATTATCAACAAAACGGTAAGAGCATCCATGAAACTAATTATATTAGGATAAAAGATGAATACCATTTTTCTTAGTATGCTTATACACGATAAGAAAGAAAATACATGTACAATGAATTTATTATTGACACTGTTTATGTAGATAATTTATTTGTAGCCAAAACCAATAATGATGCGAGTTTATTTGCAAGTTGACATTGTACGTTAAGAGATTATGTTCCTCAAAACAGGTCATGGGAAGCAAGATTCGATGGATCCTGCCGACGATTGGAACAACGAATGTCGCTGTATGCAATTGAAGCCTTTGGAACGTAGAAGGCATAGGGAACATCAGAGGTGTTTAGCTCATTCTTTAGTTGGAACACCAAACTATATTGCACCGGAAGTTTTACAAAGGACAGGATACACTCAGTTATGTGATTGGTGGAGTGTTGGTGTAATTTTGTACGAAATGTTAGTTGGTTCCCCACCGTTTCTTGCCAATACTCCAGCCGAGACACAATACAAGGTACGAATGTAGTATTATTGGTATCGATGAACAAGCGTTCGTTCCATAATGGATCTATTAGGTGAATAATATTTTCTATTCTATGCGTGTTACCTGCAGGTAATTAACTGGGAGACAACTCTGCACATCCCGAAACAAGCGAACCTATCCGCGGAAGGTATGGATTTGATATTAAAGCTGTGCGTTGGCGCAGATCGTCGGTTAGGTAAGAATGCGGACGAAGTGAAAAATCATCCATTTTTTGCGAGTATTGACTTTGAGAAAGGATTGCGTCGACAAGTAGCTCCTCATATACCCCGGATACAATATCCTACCGATACCAGTAACTTCGATCCCGTGGATCCTGATAAATTAAGGAATTCAGAATCTTCCGACTCTAACAAGTCAAACGAATTATTGGATAACGGAAAACCATTTCACGGTTTCTTTGAATTCACATTTAGACGCTTCTTTGACGATGGTGGTGGTCCTGCGTATCCTAGTCGAATAAGTTTGGACGATAACGATAATCAAGGTCCTGTTTACGTATGACAGTAGGTTTATAAGTTTTATTCGCACTCAAGTTGATGCAGTGTTTCACGTTCGATCAGATAATCTTTGTAAATATTGTTCGAAAAAATATTTGTTCAGAATCGATGAGTAGTAATAGTAGTTAGAGTAATATGAATTGGACAAATTTTTTTTTGTTAAATCTTCAATGAATGTATGTATCGTACTACCTATTATATTATACAAACTGAGAAAAGCGACGATAACACAGAAACCCTCGCGTTTGTTCCTTAATTTCGATAAATTATCATATCTGTTGTTTCGTAACTTGTTTTCCTTTGTTTTTTCCTATTCTTCTTCTTACTTGTTTTATAAATTCAAATTGTTAGAGTCACTTGTCCGAAGATTCAATTTTCTTTCATTTTTTTTTTTCTTTCTTTTTTTCTTTTAATCAAGTTTAGAAGACGGAATTTCACATGCTCGCATAATCCAGGTTCATGGGCATTTATCATCAGTTTCTAATGATACAATTGTTGTAATTTTATAGTTCTTATGTGGCACACATTATTTAAAATATCCCGAAAGTACTATCATTTTTGAAATCTTATGAAATATGAGAAAGACAAAGAAACAAAAGAAATAGTAAACGTGACTTAAACAGAAGAAAATCGGATTAATATTTGGCGAGGTGTATTAGTTTTTATAATGTAATTATGAATGTAATGATCAATCGAGAAAAAAAGAAAAGAAGCGATTGATGGCTAGACAATATACACTTTTATATGATTATTGAAAACAAATATATATTGTGCTTGCCATTTTCATTGGTATTGGCTCGTGTGCCTATTGAAAACGCGTGTTTGTATGTTTCAGCAAGTACTGTGATATTGCAGATAATTAGAATAATGTGACTTTTAAATGTATCGGCCTTATTTAATTCTTCTACTTCTTCTTTCTCTCTCTCTCTCGCGCACACACACACACTCTCTCTCTCCTTCTTTCTTTCTTTTTTTACATTGAATGCGACGACGAATATAAATAATAATTATTGCTAAATATTAATTAATATTGTATAGATTCTTAAATGGATGTAATGTGTTCATTGTAATATTTTATGCAGCTTTTAATTGTCATTTTGTCCCTGTTTTTTAATACTTTGTAATTTTAAGAGATGTTCATTGATTTACTATCACCTCGTATATGTTTTGTGAATATCTTTTGTCTTTACGGTTTAATTAGATATAACTTAATTCGGATGTAAAATTGAAAATGTTAAAAAATCCTCGTCGCGTTGATTTGGATAATCGAACTTAGATTTCGTGGTGTAAGAGTTAAACAATGAAAAAAAGAAAAAACTAATTTCGATTACCTAGGAAGATTGTTAATTGTTTATTCTATAAAAAATTGTTCAACTAAGAAACAAATATTTAATTTTGTCAATGCATTTTATAACAATTTTTATAATTGAAACTGATATCGTTAGTTTCCTATTTGAAATTTTTTCAACAATAGATATATCGAAGAAATTGCTGAACCATCTGATTTCAATCAATTAATTTTCATATATTATGCTACAAATGGATGAAACATTATACATATATATGATAATCAATCAATCAAGCGATGTTGTACTGTTTTTATAAAATTAATTGTCTTGTGTTTTTACGTTCTTATATCACAGTAATTCATCAAATGAGATACATCTAAAGCAATAAATCGCCAAGTGTCCTTATTAATTTTTCTACTCATTGTTAATGGTCATGTGTTGCTGTGTTATATTCACGATTACACACGATTAACGATAAATCGGTCCATTCGTTTAAAACGATACGAAATAACCGTTACATATTTTACTAATTAGTTGATAATGAAAAAATGTGATCGTTGATGTTACTCGTTTGTTGAAAGCAAAAGGAATTAACACCGCACTGCATTATTGCATCAATGTATTTAATATGTACAAAGTAAGGATAAGTCGTTTTTCACATACAAAACACACACACACACACACACACACACACACATAATCAATTGAATTTACAGACGATGAACAAAAATCATTAACTATAGAAATATAAGAATGATACATGATATCGAAACGATAATGAATATCATCTAAAAGATACATTATATAAAGTTAATTACAACTTCTCTCATTTTGTAAGCAGTTTCATGTTTTTTTTCTTATATTGAAAATATTTTGAAATTAGTTAAAATAATTACTGTTAATCTGTATGCTTATTGTGCGTCGTATGTACCAAAGGAAAAAGTAAGTCTTTATATAGAGTGGAAGAATTTGATAGAAAAATATAGCAAAGGATTTATTTTACACTAATTTCAGGTAGTAATTATCTTCCAAAACATCAACGAACGATGAATCTTTATATGAATATATTATGGATAATTGTTTATTTTGGTACATAAGAAGAATATGTGTTTATATGAAAATGGTAAAAATAGAGAAAAGAACTGATTAATCAGAAAAGGAAAAAAGAGAAAATTAATATTTTTTCATTAAAAGCGGTATATACAATAGACAAGAAAAAGAACAAAAAAAAATGTTAAAGGTTTTAGTCAATTTTTTCATGCATTTTAAGGATTTTTATAAAAGAAAGTAGACTGCATATCTAAAATGCAGTAAAGATGTTACTGCTTGGAGAAGAATAGCTAAAGGATGTAACTTTCAATACAGTGCATTTAAATCAATAATTGTAAACGTCGGTTTGCAAAATATATTAACTCTGATTGCACAAAATTCGTGATTTACAATTAGATCGCTTCATGTAAAATTATCGTTTAGCAAAGAGAATCGAGTATTGTGTTACATCACATTTAACAAATAAATACCAAAGGGATTCGCTCTTACTATCATAAAAGTAATCCTTGTATGCTACAATTTTATTCTTTGTATACATACATAATTTTGCATGTTTTATTTTAGTTAATAGCTGTGTGCAAAATAGTGGCACAATATTGTTGTGCCATGCATAAGTGGATACAATGTTAATATAAACTTTCAACAGATAGTACTTGTTAATTTTTGTTCTAAATCACAAGTGATTATTCAGAAATTAATATAAAATATATGAAACATTGTTCGTCGCGCATATATTTATTGCTCGATCGTTAATGAAATTGCAAACATTTTAGATCATATATTATACTTTAGAGAACAGTTGAAATCAAATAATAACAACAATAATATAATTTTTATCAACGAATACGCAATAAATAATTGCAGAAAAGAATAATAAAATTGATATTTTTATCATAGAACTTAGGTAAATGTTGGTATGAAAATTTATCGTTAAGATCTTTGAAATGAAAACATTTTTTATAATTCAATGAAGTGACACACATATGAAAGATGAAAGAAAACAGAAATTCTATAAATGACTGGCATTCAAGATGTTAGATTAAAAGAAAAAAATAATTTGACAATTGAGAAGTACCTCTTATTGTGTATTGAAAAAAAATATTTTTATACCATGAAATGTACGTGTATATAATAATTTACCTTTGAATGTTATCAATATACAGTTATAAAGTAATATTCGTTAATTTCACACTCGCATACATACACACATACACTAAATTAAGTTGAATTTAATTAATAAATTGTAGTATCATTGCGAGGTTTTACATCATTCGAATTGCCGCGTGGTATACATTAGAGATTATGTCTACTTCGATCATAAGATAATACAGAGATCTGTTAATCCATAAATCAAAGCAAAATGATTTTTGAATCATATAGCTGTACATTCTGTAACATCTATTTCTGCTTTGTAATTATATCATGAACGTTAGAAGAGAAACAAGTTAATTTTGTAAGGCGGTATAATATATTAAACTCTGTATATACATATTTTGGATAATTATTCTAAATTAAAACTATGTTTAATGCTTATTTTATTTCAACTTATTTTTCCTACGTATTAGATGTAACCAATTCTTACTGTTCGACGAATATGTGTAATGTTAAATGTTCAAAATATAACGAACAAATGAACGTAAGTAACATGTATGTTGTTTAAAAAATAACATTGTGCATATTTTTCAAATTGTGATATCTAACAGTTAAAAGTACAAAGTTGGAATCAAATGAGTGCAAAGTAACGCGAAATAAATATTTTTTCTATTTTACATCAGACTTTTCGATTGGACAGTTAATTCGATAGTTCGAAGAGATTTAAATTTTAATTATAAAATTGTTTAAACCATCGCGCGCGTGTGTCGTGAATTATCGATTGCTCTTTAGCTACAGAGATAACGAATTAAAAAACTTATGCCATGGAAGAATAAAAATAACAGTGCCATATTTTTTACTTAAAATAAGTTAAGCAACGAAGACATGGTAATGTAAAGTTTTTATAAAATCTTCGGTCAATGTACAAACTCATTCGATGATCATTTATGTAATTCGGTTAACGGAGCTCCGGGCTTCCCCCACTTCGTGTACCTTCCCCTTAAAAAACCAAGACAGACGGCGATAAGATAGAATCTTTCCTCTTCTGTTGTAGTCTTATTTGAGGGGAATGTGTACGGAGTAAGGGAAGCCCGGAGTTCCACTGGACATCACTGATGTAACTAGATCGATTGTCGTTATTTCACGTTATTCGCTCAAAGTTACTTTGCTTCTGAATATCGACAAAAATTGTTCTATCACCTTCATTTAGTAGAAACTCGGTTTGTTGAATAAATAGAATCGGGAAAAGTGAAAAATCTACTAAAATGAATCGCATCAAGAAAATGTTATCGAGCAAAGAGACTCGAAATTATTTTATGAGGCAAGCGACATAGAATTCGAGCACGAACACATTCGCATACACGTGCAATCGTGTAATCGTGCAACCGTGTAATCGTGCAACAATACAATTGTGCTACCGTGCAACCATGTTACTTAACGCTCGTGTCGTTTGTTGAATTGAAAACGATTCAATTATATAAAAATTGCTTTTCTGTTTTAGCACCCACTTTTGGGGACCAGTAGCTAATTGGGGCATTCCAATTGCTGCAATTGCTGATATACGAAGTGATCCAAGATATATCAGTGGAAAAATGACACTTGGTTAGTTTATCAATTTTACTTCTTCTAACATAATTAACATTTTTTTCATTTTGCCACCATATATGAATTAAATAGATGAACTTATGTATGTTAAATGAAAGAGATAATGCGAATATGATCACGTGCTTTTCCCTATACGCGTAATGTTTTTTACTTTTTATTTATTTTTTTTTTCAATTAAATTTCATCGAAGTTATAAAGGTGCGATACAATCAAATATATAAATGTCTAAGTATTTGGACCAATCAGATATTTCGACTGATTTAATTTAGTATTTTAGTAAATAATATAAATGTAAAAAACTACAAAACAAGTCTATTTATGTATGTATAACTGTAATTACACGAGTATTTGTGTGAATGGCTAAGATACTCCTAAATATAGATAAGTTGTTGGGGATTTGAACTTTAAAGAAACAGCATTTATTGAAATTTATAAGAAATTATATTAATTTTTTTCAGCTTTATGCATATATTCGGCAATGTTTATGCGATTTGCACTCAAAGTCGAACCACGAAATTTACTTCTTTTTGCCTGCCATTTCGTCAATGAAGGAGCACAGCTCACTCAAGGATACAGATTTATAAAATATCACACAAGTAATCCTGAATAATCATTCAGAAACATAATAGATTGTTAAAGGTGTAAATAATATTTGTACTCGTTTGTTAAAATTATTTCATTCTTATAATTTATTGTTATTCAATCACCCATTTTTATTTAAAATGTACCAAAATGTTATGTAAAGGTAATAATAAAAAATTAAAAAACAATGCTAAAGTAAATTTTAAAAAGACTGATATAAGACAACAGAGTATAAAATAAGCTAATTTAATTGTTTATGTAACATAAATATAAAAAATACAATACATGTATGTTTAAAAATGGTACTAAACTATAACAATAATATAAATTTTGTTATTTGTATCTTCGGTAACGCTATCCAAATATAGAAACATCAGACTTATCGGATATGATTCAATTATGCTCTTAAAATTAACAACAGACTATTTAGTATAAAAAATACGTTTACTAGCACGTGGAAATGTATATATGTATAACCTAAATGTACATGTTCAAAAAGTTCTTAAAATGAACACATTCGCTGCTACTCACGTGTTTCGCGCATGAGATTCCGTCTTATAATATCATATTCTTTAAAATATTTATGTGGACGGCTCGTATATTAGAACATTAATGATACAAGTATATACGTATATATCAATGGACGGATTATATTACCGCAGTTCACCAGAGTCCATAACTGCGAAAAGACCAGTTTTCGTTCTTCGCGCTTCTCCAGTGCGCATCTTCGTCCTGATTGGCGATACTTCCAAACGAAGTGGAAAGCGATTAGCAGAGAGCTCGCTACGTTCCCCCACCATCTTCCAACCTGCGCGTCGCAGTTATGGACTCTGGTGAACTGCGGTATACTAATATTAATCTGTAAATTTATAAAACTCGATTTATCGTAAAAGGCAGTATTTATAGCACATCGCGTTTCTACGATGTCACTATAAGAAACGAATTACTTTTAGCAAAATAATATAATATTATCGATAGGGACATCAATACCCAATTGGCTTGAATCGACGAGGCACTGGCTAATCGACACTTGAACATGTCGTACCTGCAAAATAAACGTATGTTCATGTTATTTATTAAAACTCATTCAAACAATAACATCTTTGAGTATTATATAATTAAAATTACCTAGTTTCTTGATCGTTAACTAAATTATTAAATTCGGCTTCCACTAACTGACCATCGTAATACGTGATTAGATCTTCGAATGGATATTCGAAAGCTTGTTTACATTCGCATTTGTATCCGCCTGTTTCGAAACCTCTGCCAAGAATCGGTACACACTGTATACACATATGTAAAAGAAAGAGAAAAACAAAAAAAGTGTATTAAATGAATAAAAATGAAAAAAGAAAAGGGAATAGTTTGTACGAACAATATTATGTTGTATTAAAATTCACTGTCAAATAAATAAGATAGACAAACATTGATTTAGAGAAAAATTGAATATCTTACGTATGAGGTTTTTCTGTCGCATTTATGAGTACCCTTAAACGCATTCGGCACGTAAAACTCATCGTCACACTGGTTGATGTCAAGCTGAAGTAGATCCATGGTAACAGCTACAACACCTCTGTAAGGATTTTAATATAAAATGTGATCTTCCTTGTCTCCGTCCTTTATAATGAAACAGGTTTTCTATCCTTGTGGGGAGTATTTCACGTTTGATTTTTCTCATGCACTTACTATACTCAGTTCTTCATGTGGACTGAGATACTTACTTGAATTCCAGTTTCTCTTTCAAACTGTCCAAGCCGAAAAATGGGGATGCATAAGTAATTACCCATTTCTTCATTTTGCCGTTGCAATCAAAGTACGGGGCTGTCCAGTAACCATGATTCAGGTTTGCTGCCCTATAAAAATGAACATATATTTCCATACATTGAAGTAAATCTTATTTACAAGATCGTATAAAATTGAATTTTTCTTCTTGTTTCTTTAAACTTCACAAGTACAGTTTCATTTCCATGTTTCAAATAAATGTTACACGTTTGTTCTTAACTAAATAAATTTATAATTTTTGTATTCTTACCTATATGAGTTCGGGTAATGTTCATATTTTTTTAAATATTCACCAGTTTCGTTATATCTAATTTTTATTTTCATATAATAATGTTCTAATTCTTCAAAATTCGTGGCCCATCTGTCTTTTGATAATCGGAAATAATTCTTTTTCGTGTATACCTTATCTGTAATATCGTTTAATACTCGTAAAATGATAACAAGTATTTATTGAAAAAGACAAATATTTCTCAATAATATCTATACGTATATTACCTGTATTATTCAGTCTAGCTAAATCTTCGACTTTGAACTTTCGTGTATTTAACTGAGTTTTGTACGCATACGGGGCGAAAAACGTTCTATTTGTAAACTTATCACGATCCCAAAGTGTTTCGGCAGCCCATATTTTAGTGTCTCCTAACACTAAAGCTAGAGTCTCTCCGATCATTTGATCTTCGGTAAGCGGCCTGTCTGCTACCCTTTTACCCGAATAAACTTCATGGGGGTCAGAAATTTGTAGAAACGCGCTAATAAAATTTGCCAATCTAGTTGCCATTCTTGCTTCGTTCTCAAAGAATTCTTTCGCGCCAAAGCTTATGTCTCCCCGCAACATTAACTCTTCTGATGTGTAACTGTAATTTTAAGCATGTTAAATGTATCATTACTTTTGTGCTTTTATTTTACTTGCGCCACCCTTATTACATTACCTTTTACAAGTTTTCGAATTTACATTTAAAATAAATTTCAGAGCTTGATCTATATTAGTTTTCTCAGATCTTAGTGACTCTGGTCCAGTAGAATAATTTCTATAATGATAGAATTGCTCAAGGTACTTTTCTCTGACATATGGTTTTGCTTTTTCCCATTGTACGGGCATCTTATGAATCCCTGCATAATTGATCAATAATACAGAAACAGAAAGACAATGTTAAAACAATAATAATAAGGAATAAAAGAAGAATAAAAAGGAAATAAAAGAAATGAAAATCGTACATCCTATTTTGGTACAGTCAAATCCATTGTAGTATTGTTCTTGAGTTGCTCTTTCTACAATTTCTCCTAAATAGGGACGCCGCACTACATTCGGCAATCTATAACCCGGCTTACATCTACACTGATATCCTCCTCTTCGAAAACCCCAACCATGCAATGGTTCACACTGTACACAATAATAAATACATGCATAAAACAAAATCAACAGGGACAACATTTAAAGTCTACCATTATTGATTATTTATATCAATTAATACCTCAGTAGTCTCCTTTTTACATCTGTCAGTATTTGCAAATCTATTCGGACCACTATTTCCTTTTCCTTTAGGACACTGATTTATATCAATTCTTTCAAAATCCATTTCTATTACCGATATAGCGGTATATCTAAAATAAAATTATAAAATGTATCATAGAACTCAATGAAATAACTTAAAGTTAAATAACTTTAATGAAGAAGAAACGTACGTCGGATATTCTATATGCCTGAATCCTGTATGTCTCGGATAAATATCTGCGATAGGCACAATTGCTGCCACAAGCCATCGATTCGATCTACCGCAATCAAAATACGGTCTAGTCCATTTTACAGGTCCAGGGTATTCGTCCGCACCTATATAAAACAAAAAAAATAATATATTATTAAAATCTTCCTGTTTTACTTAGTTTTAATAGTTGCTTCTGTTGTTATAATACCTGGTGGCCCGTGAAATGTAAATGTTTCGTTAGTATTGTTTGCATATCGAATTTCAACTTGATAAGTAGTTTTGGTATCGTGTCTTTTTTCAACATTATCTGGCAACCATTTCTTGTACCTAAAAATACATATAACACTTTATGTATTACAACAAGCGAATCATAAATACATTGTTTAGATATTATTAAATATTTTACCATTCATTTATACGATAATAATCTGTTGTATAATCATCAGCAAGACTATCGCTAGGAAATGCTCCTAGGTCTTTAACATTGAATGTATTTCTTGTAGATATTCTTTCCAAATGTATTGGATCATTAAAATCATCTGCTCTAAAAGTTCTTGGAGCAAACCTGGGCATGGTTTTGTTAAAAAAGCCTCTATATGATGGCGAATAGGACATATTTGGAGAGAAATAAATAGCAGAAGCATTTATATATGGATTTGCTGAAACATCTGCGACTGTTGATAAGAAATAATACATCATGCCTGGATCATATGTATCATTGATGGCTGGACGTATAAAACGTGATTGTAAAATATAACTCCAAAAAAATGATCTACTAAGGGCCATGTTATGAAGATGTAACAGAGCAGTTCTGTTTGGGAAAACAGGATTGATATTAATATCTTTAATGTCTGGTAAATGGGAAACTGTATCTTCTGGTAAATAGAGGTCTCCAAGATGTTGAATTGGGCAATTGTTATTGGTGATTTTATCCATTCGTAGACGAACTTCGTCATAAGCATCTCTAGCTTGCCATTCGTATTGTCCGACAACGCCCAAGCAACAGAGGCTTACGATCAGTGCAGCACATATTTTCGGACTAGTAAATTCCATTTTTCAGAAAACTTATGAATCACTTTTTTATACACTTACATTATTATTATACTCGTATTATGTTTTATATTCGTGTCATCATTATACATAAAACTGTAGTGCTATAAAACGAGTAAACATACCCAACTTCACCGGAATCGTATACTCACAAATTGTACGTATTCACTATATGTTGCTTCTGTTCTGACGTCATCTATTCTATACTAAATTAGAGTTAACTTTTAACATTAACAGTGTAATTCTAATATGATACGAAAAACAGATCGGATCGTTACAAATTTCTATAAAACAATTACAACTCTAAAGGTAAGAAAAAAATTAATTCAATTGTTGAAATTAATAAAAACAAATGGTAGATTTATGAAAGAGTTGTTGTAACAACGATATTGTTAAAAATGTAATTTGATACTTATGAAAATATTTATTTTTTTCAAATATTTGAGAATATATAAAAATTTTCTAATTATTTATTTAATTGTTTATTACACAACAACAAATATTACGTTTTATTTTTCTAAAAATGTCTTTCGTGGAAATTATATTTTGTGCAATATTAGAAGAAGAGAAAAATAATGAAACATTAAACTAAAGCCTAATGTAACATTTAAATATCTTTTGTTATGGTAACATATAGCATCTTGGTCCAACGACCCTCCCCCCTTCCCTTCCCAAGCGGTTTGACTCTCCTAAGTGCGTAAGTATTCCGTTCGCTGTGGTATTATTGTCCCAATACAGGTTCACCCCTATTTATCTGTGATGTGAAAAAAGAGAATTTCTCATAGCTAAACAAGTATTTCGAAGAGACAACTTGCTGGGGGTCTATTCCATGGTGTAATGCGGCTGTTCACATTATTCTGGTTCCTGAGAAAATTTTTGTGTTGCCTGTCTGCAGTCCCCGAGGCTTTTGATGTTAACGTGGGAAATAGACTTATAAAGATTTATTAAATATCATCATACAAAAATAGCATATTTCCTCTCACGATAGCTTTTTATTTACATTTAAATATCTTTTTATATTAATTTAACTTAAAAATTTTGCTAATTTATTTTTTTTATTTATAAACTCCAAATGCGTAATTGTACATGACATACATACATACGTTCCCTCTTGTATAGTAATTTATTTAAAGTGATAAACTTAAAAATTTTTGAGTCAACAACCATTAATGGATAACACATGTACTGTACAATCCATTGAAATAAATGGAAAACAACATTAAAATTATCAGACAGTTCAGAGTTTTTTAAAACAAAATTTATTCGTATAAAGTTTATATAAATTTTTCTATATTAAAATGCCAACCTCCCACGATATTGGCTCCAGAATCGAGAAAAAAAAATGCATTGTCTGTAGAGAGTGCAACAGCTAAGTAATGAGAGATAGACGGACAGACATAGAAAGAAGAAAAGAGAAGGAAAAGAAAAAGAGGGGAGTGTATGTGTGCGTGAAAGAAAGAAGGAGAGAGAGACAGAGAGAGAGACAAAGAGAGACAGGGAGAGAGACAGAAAGGGATTACGATAAGGGAAGAAAGAAAAAGAACGGAGAAAGGGAACCAGAGTGAGGAAGGCTAAAAGGTAGAACAAGAAAGGAGAGGAAGAAAGGTAATAAAAAAGAGAAGCAAGCAATGTAACTATTAAGTAAAAAATAATCAAATAAAACTGTTGTAAATTAACAACTATTGATCATTTTTATGGTGATAGTTCATATTCGATAAACGGAGAATTTGAATGAGTAAAAATTATGAAAACGAAAAAATTCTGAAGGAACAGGTTTCTGCAAGCGAGCGTATAAGCATTATTCCTCTCTGTTACTCCTTCAGACTCAAGGGACGCGGGTGCGTGCTCAACCAGACAGGCGGTTTACGGTTGAATTCAGGACCGTATCTTCTTATTTGCGTTTTACTCGCTTATCTTGATAGTAAATTACATAACTTTTCTTCTTGCATCAAAATATTAATCACTTTGTGATTATAATACTTTTTTGTTACAATCAAAATGTGACAAAATTTTGATGATATTTACGGTCTTATCTTAGGTTGATGAAATTTAAACATGCGAGTATTTATACATTATTTCATCTACTTACCTCATTTTAACATTATAATTACCTATTCATTTTCTATATACGCTTAAATTCTATAACAGTATTATAGGAGTATAAAATTTTGATAAACAAGCATTTCAAATTAATTTCTTGTCCATTACTTATACATTTTAACTTGTATTAAGTTAAATAATATAAAATAACAATGAAATATAATATTTTAATATATGTACAATTATATTACAATTTAATAATTTAATAATTACAATTTACATATGTACTTATGTATATGGTTGGCTATATTTACATAAATATCGTACAGTATCTGTATAAATATGTATCCATTTATCGTTATCATTATTATAATCATACCGTGTTTTAGGGTGTACATATATTTTTGACAAAAACATTTTTGTTCTACATAATAATATTTCTTGGTGCTGCTTATATATTTAGCAGTTTGCAGAATTGGATAAACAATATTTTTTACGTATTATCCGATACTACGTGCATACGTATCTATGCATGCATAAGTATTTACATACACATGTCCAACAATGAGTAATACCTGTGTTAATTATTAAAATGTAGTCGTTGTTTTGTCAAATCTTGAAAGCAATAAAACGTAAAGATATAAATTGTAAGTAACACGATTAAAACTAAACAAAGTAAACTGCACGTTTTATTGCAAAAAAAAAAATTATGTGAATTTCGAAAGATATACTACGAGGCCAAAGAAAAGTTGGGACGAACCTGAATAAGGCGGGGCTCGCATATACCGCGAAGAGAGGTAAGCGGTTGAATCGGATTGGATTGGGGCGCAACTAGCAAGCAAGCAAGCAAGCAAGCGAGAAAACTGGTTTGGTTTTGTGAGGCTTGCACCACTGCATCGTTCTTTCAACGAGACAGTCCAATTTATGCATTACGGCTATGTAGGCACTACACGATATCAAAACGCTGCGCCCGGGCTTACTCCACTTATCGTCACTATCATTGCAATATTATTGGAACTTTGCAAGTGCCTACAAGACTAAATTCACTCATTACATTTCAGTTAATACAATAAAGTGTTTATAATTTGTAACACATATTAAAACACAGTGGAATACAACGCGAAAGTGAAGCGAAATAAACGCAAGTTCTCGTACTCGTATTAACATTGATTCTATCTCTAATATGAATTTTGTATCAGTTAAAAGCTTGTGACTGTTTTGTGCCGTATCTAGTGCTTCGTTTTACAATTTGTTTAAAATTAATACTGTGAAGATTTCAAATTTCATACAGGTACAACATTTTTATATTGTTTAATTGTACACATCGTATTCTTGCAGTATCAATGAAAGTTTATTTTTTCATCTTAAACATCTATTTATACTCACATTTATGTATATTTTATAACGTTGTCTTATGTGAGAGGTTATTGTATTTGGTCATCAATCGTTTAATGTTTCTAAAAGCTATAAATTTAACTTTTCTATTTTTAATTATGGTAGAGGAAGTAGTACTGTGTAATAATTTTACAATATACAGGAGATCATCAATCATGAAATATCGTTATAATGTCTAATTATGGTAATAACAGCGTATTATAACTGAATAGGTTGCATTAGAATCACATTCAACGTTTTTTCCTTATGAGGTTCGAGGTTATAAAATAGTCGTGTTTCTGTTTATCGTATATTAGTAATAAGGACAAAAAACAGTTAATCAGTGTGACTTTCCATTTTTTATACTTCATCTTATAACATTGGTGTTCACGTGAATTAGTAAACCAAATTATTTAATTTATAGTTAAAAGGAATATAGGTATTTCTTTTTAAATTTTGTTAATAAAACGTGCAAAAATTGAATAGAACAATATGAAAGTTCGTTACGTAGAACGTACATGTGTATGTATATGCACTATTTTGTTCTTGAAGTGATCTGTTAAAGTTGATATTGCCATGTCAAAGATAAATCGCAAAAATTGGTAATTATTAGAAACAAAGAAGTTACTATGATAGCAGTAGTTTAAATTTGCATACAAAAAAAATTTACATAATATGCTATATGCACGATTCAATTACGAGATTCGTTATTTTATGAATGCATGTTGCATGGTCAACTTTTTCCTTTAAGCTTTTTGCATGAACCAATCAGAATTCGCGAATGTGTCTTAAAAGAAAATGGCTAACTCGCCATGTCGCTGGGTTCGAGCGTATCTTTGCGCGTCGTTTTGTGAACCCCGTAGTCTGCAATCACGTTGACGTCTGTCGCCATTTCCTCGCAGGGGGATTCTGTTCATTTACCTACTTTCTAAGGTATATATAATTTTTCTTGTTACAAGTTTTGTGAATATATTTTATTATCGTATTTTTTATTGGTAATACATTAATAAGCGCGAGTGAAAATTCGTCGGTTGGTATGTTAGATGTTGATGTTGTGACGAGTGTAGAAGTGCATCGCATTCTTCAAGAAATATGGATGCAGCACCATTGCCGGCCGGCAAGCTATACGCATAAAATTTTAATTACACCTTTCTGAAAGTTTAATTAGAGGATTGTACATTTAAATTTATTAATTTAATTTTTTGATTGCAATAATATAAAGTTACCATATTTTCAGATATATATTGTTCAGTGATAATATTCTTTATTGTATTTTATATTTGAAATTGATGCAAAATGTCATTAATAATGTGTTGACGGAGTTTTATAAAAATCTTTCTGCCCATCATTCTTTTATTTTTTTATTTATTACATGATTTGTGATATTTCAAATGTCATGTGAGCTATTCATTAACGCGGGAAATTACACGGATTGTGTATTATATATGGAATGCTTAAGTCCAGATTTCTGTAGAGAACGTGTCTTGCTCCTTTCTTTTATATATTACATTTATGTAGATTAATATTTTTAAAAAAATCTCGATTTCTTATAAATCGTTTCTTATTATTTTAATTCTCTGTTTCTCTTTTTCTTCATTTTGTCTTCTGTTTTTCAACATTCGTTTTCCTTTTTATTATTTCTCTTTTTTTATTTTATCTTGTTTGTATAGCTTTCTCTTTCTTTTGTGTTAGACTTTGTTAATTGCATATTTCTTTCTTATAGTATCGAATGTTCAGTGTTTAATGTAAAAGTTTTCTTGCTGAAAGAGTTGTATGATTAAATCACAAAATTGCATAAGAATTGGTAACTGCATTATTAAGGAAACTTTAAAATGAAATAAAGACGGTTTTATATTTTTTTAATAAAAAGAAAAGCAGTTGAATATACTTGATGACCGTCAGTAATGTTTTTGCTGCCTTGTAATTTATATTCAGTATATTAAATTTGTCAATGTTTTTAATAGAATAGTTATAATATTTTATTGTTTAAAATTAACTAGAATAAAATAGAAACAAAAAGATATTTCTCACGAGTGTTATAAATATTACATTAACCTGTTGCTGTCAAAATACATATTGGTGCATAGTTTGAAAGTAAAAGGTTAACCGCAAGAAACATAAACAGATACATTCTTATCATTACAAAGACTTTTAAGTGGACTATTGCTTAATATATATAATTATTAGGATTCGATTATTGGTTTTGTATATAGATAAAATTGCTTGTAATCTACATGTACAGGTACTTGTAAATTGGTCCAATAGCAAAGCCTTAAGAATATTGTATATTGTTTCATTTCTGATACAATTTCCTTCTCTTTGTTTAATTTAAGTATTATATTTATATATTAAATTAAAATGATTTATTTCAGCTATGGCAGAAGGGAATGGAGAGATAAAAATGGAAGAGAAGCAATCTAAGGAGGAAATGGAATATGTAGAAAGAACAGAAGACTATGCAAAATTAATTCAATATGGATTGGATGAAAAAGTAGCTGCTAAACTGGATGAAATTTATAAGACAGGAAAGTTAGCTCATGTAGATCTGGATGCAAGAGCATTGGATGCGTTAAAGGAATTTCCTGTAGAGGGTGCATTAAATGTACTCATACAATTTCTTGAATCTAATTTAGAGCATGTATCAAATAAATCTGCGTATCTTTGCGGTGTAATGAAAACGTATAGACAAAAAAGTCGAGGTGGACAAGGTACTGGTACCAGCACGACTCCAAAAGCACCAGACGAGGATAAAATAAAAGTAAACTTATATTTTGTTAATTCAACACTTTTAGTGCTACATGTGTGAAATTGTTATTTAAGTTATGTGAAAGGTACAGAAGCAAACGATAATGTTTTAGATGATTCTTGAACGAACTGGGTATCCATTGGATGTGACAACAGGGCAAAGAAAATACGGAGGACCTCCTCCAAATTGGGAAGGTCCAACACCAGGAACTGGTTGCGAGGTAAAGTATAAAATGTTGTTATTTGACTCGCTACAGTACATATTTCTTTTGTTTTCAATGTAGTAATTTACAAGGAGGTTTTCGTTAACCGTCGATTTTATTTTTTCATTAACCGTCTTTCTGTTTTTATGAAAGGTGTTCTGTGGAAAAATTCCAAAAGATATGTACGAAGATGAATTGATTCCATTATTTGAAAAATGTGGAAAAATTTGGGATTTGAGATTAATGATGGATCCAATGGCAGGTTGCAACAGGGGATATGCATTTATTACTTTTACTAATAGGGAAGCAGCACAACAAGCTGTTAAAGAGGTATGTAGACATTTTCCAATATCTTTATTATCATGTAGGTACATGTTTGTGAAGCGTATACATTCTGTTATCCTAGTTTCTGATATATTGTTATGAACATGTCAGATCCCTTCATTCTTTTTTTTTAATGAAATTTTTTAGAAATGTTACAAAATTGTTATTGCTACCAAAATAAGTAGACTTTCGAAATGTTTAAATCTGTTATTAAATACTTTTTTCCTTCGTCTCTCAACTTTTATTTAAACA